ATGAGAATTGTCTTAAATTACCACGTGGCGTAGTAGTAATATAAGTAGCCCATTGCTACACTGCTTTTTCTTCCTCCGTTCCAGCATCTCCTGAAACTGCAGGAGGACTGCGAAAGAAGAGAAGCTGAATTGGAAAAAGCGAAAAAGGAAAAATTAAAGCTTGACAAATTGCTTGAGAGACTGAAGGAAAAGGTACGAATTGTTCTTAGCTAATGACCTTACAGCGGTGTTTCTGAGCCTTGGGCAATTTTAAGATACGCGGGCTTCCAACTGCCAGAATTCCCCATCCAGCCCTTATAATCTTACAGGCTACATTTTCCATATCAGACTTTGGACAGTGTGATTCTCTGCTTTTTCGGGATAGGAGGCTGTCATAGACAGCGGTGTCTTCTGATGGATCTTTAAAACAGTCCATCGTGCAGTTTTGCCCAAAACAAATAATTTTGCAGTGTACACTTCTATCCCCCTGAGATTTCAAAGAATACGAGTTTAAATATATGAGCAGTAACAGCTCAGAAATCAAACATATGGAACTTGGCAACATATTCTGAGAAGTAGGTGGCCCATATTCCATACTTATGGTTCTACTTGCTCCGAAAGGAAGAAAAGAAATAAACTGTACTAAAAGGTCTAGATTCTGTGCCAAGGAAAATTTTATAAATGCAGACATTTCATATGTCTGATTATTTGAGTACAGTAACACGTAAGTGCCTGTTAGTTACAATATTTCCACTGGAGAATTTGGATGTTTTTCATATAAAGAAATCTTAGTTTTGTCTTAGAGCAACACTGTTTTTTATACCAGCTTGCCTTTTTATACAATGCTTCTCAGCTGCCTATCTCAACAAGGAACTCTGTACGGCAAACAGAATTAAAATGAAATGAAACAAGTATAAACATTGCAAAAATGAAAATCCAAACCCAATCAAGTCACTAGTACAATTAAGAAGCGGGTCCCTGCACACATGTACTTTGAAAAAGATCAGCTGCTATGCTAGCTTTGTTTCCTTGAATTACCAAATTAACTTACTGATAAATTCCTTATTAAACTTGGCAGCAAAGCTAAGGCTATTTGAATCATCAGGAAGGCAGAAAAATCCTTGTTTCAAGAATTGTACACTCTGGAGATTATAACTTTTCCTTTTCCCAATTGAATGCAGCAAGAACTGGCAGATGGACCTGACAGAGGGAAAGACTCAACGGAAGCTAAAGACCGAGTAGGTGGTCTCCTGAACATTATGCATGTTAGTACTTACCATACTTGTTGTTTTCTTCTTGTTTGAATCCATTGCACCTGATATATTTATTTGTTACTCTGTGTTAGAAGGAATGAGAATTTCATCCGGGAGTGAAATATAAAGTTGCTTCTTCTCCCAACCGGCTTTTTAAGGGATGCCATTTAAGTTAATTGCCTATGGCAGTATAGTTATTCCAATGTCTGCAGAGCACAATTAAGAAATCAACATGTTGTTAAGAGACAAATCCTGGGTAACATGCTGATTATCCTTAATTCTGTAGAGTCCTTGTTGCTCTCTAAGCTTGCTTGCTTGTTTGCTTGCAGACATTTCATTACCTGACTAGGTAACATCATCAGTGTTACTGGGAATGGAGTTTGCTCCCTATTGATATACAGTAACTTGGTCTGCTTGCATTGTTTTCTGCTTAGTAGTTCCTTCATTGGGATACTGTTTTCTGCTTGATCGTTTGTCTGGTGATAATCCCTGCTTATCTGGATGTGGGCTGTTGACAGAAACTCTTTTGTTTTGGTCCCCTTAATTTCTTTTAGGACAATGACTTGTCAACCATTTGCTCAAAGAGTCCAGAGAAGGAAAGAATGCTTGAGAGAGGACTTCACTGCAACCCTTTAAGATTGGAGAGGGAAGCTTTATTAGTGGGTAAGGACTTCTGAGTTTGCAGGATTCTCGAGGCTTAAGATTTGAATTAGGACCATCAGAAGCTGCTTTGCACAAGGTGCCATTTAGCTACCTCTGAGAGGTCCATATCTTGACTAAGAGAGGCCTACGGCGCTGGGCCATTCCCCCTTGGATCTGAATCTGATCGAACATCTGCTGAAGCAAAGCCTGTGGGGCCCCATTTTATTCCATCCATAGAGCAAGACAGATTGTGCATCTTTCAGGTTTGGCCCGGCTATTCTGTGCCCAATAACCTTTCCTACTTAGACCTCCAAAATACCAGAGGGCTCTTGTAAGAAATTCGGGTGTGTTCTATGTTGGCATCCCCATTTCTTGGGAATAACACCCTCCCCAATTTTATTTTTTTTTTAGGGATAATCTCAACTTTTCTGCACGTTCATCCTTTTGGGGCAAGCATCGAATACATCTGTTCCTACCTCCAACGCCTGGACAGTAAGGTAGGCAGGCAGATTGAAATGTACACTTCTAGGTGGTTTGGCCCCCTTTAAATGCATCTCAAGCTTTTGCTACCCAAACAGCCTTTTCTGCTTTTGGAATGCTCCTTTTCCATTGAGTGGTTCATCTCGAGCCAAGCACAGGTAGTCCTTGACTTACAACCACAACTGAGCCCCAAATTTATGTTGCTAAGTGAGGCATTTCTTAAAGTGAGTTTTGACCCATTTTACCACCTTTCTTGCCCCGGTTGTGACGTGAATCACTGCAGTTGTTCAGTTAGTAACACTGTTGTTAAGTGAATCAGGCTCCCCCATTGACTGTCTTGTCAGAAGGTTGCAAAAGGGGATCACATGACCCCAGGACACTGCAACCATCGTAGATATGAGCCAGTGGCCAAGCATCTAAATCTTGATCACGTGATCATGGGAGTGCTACAATGGTTGTAAGTGAAAAAAATCATAAGTCACTTTTTTCAGTGCTGTCGTAACTTTGAACGGTCACTAAATGAACTGTTGGAAGTTGAGGACCACCTGCAATGCAAACTGTGCGCCTGAACCCCTATGGACTGAGTTTGCCCCTCATCCTAAGAAGTTAGATTTTTTTTAATTTCATGCGATCTGAACCTGTGGGGTTGATAAAACCGTGGCTTATCATTCCCTGCAATGTCTGGTTTATTCAGTAGGCCAGGCTCAAAGCATAACTTGACGTGACATGCAGATCTAATCATTGTGCTTTACAAGACACAGTTTTTGGCTTAGCGTAATGTGAACTCCTCTTGATTGTAGTTTGTTCAGCGGTATGCTAAGACCATATGTTGTGAATTCAGACACTGGGTAATTGAAGATGCTGTGGGTCTGTTAACAAAGGCCTGCACTCTTCCTAAGCACCTTGGCGACTCTTGAGACTTGTGGACTTCAGCTCCCAGAATGCTGGGTGCCTGAGGAATTGTGGAAGTTGAATTCCACAAGTCTTAAAGTTCCCAAGACTGGGGACCCTTGCCTTTTGGTTAAACAATAGAGACTGACTAGTTTTCATCAGTCAGTACTGTTCTGTAAAAAAGATCCTGTGGGAGATGTTCTTCAGAAGGCAGAAATAAATGTTATCTATTCAGATCTCTAGCATGGCAATCAACTTAACCATTTGATGGTGATTTTACCATCACAAGAGATTATCTCAGTTTATTAGTTTTAGTGACATGTTGCTTTTTTTTTTTGTGTAGATTTGCGCCACTGAAGTGGAAAACCTCATGACACGACTCCAGCATACTTTCAAACAAGAGATGAATGGGGTTGGAGCGAGCCTAGAGAAGAGGTGGAAATTTTGTGGTTTTGAAGGACTAAAGACTATAACCTGAACTTGAAGCCACGAGTCCTTTGAACTCTTAACAGAATGTGCAATATTTGCAGTATGCATAGATACAGTTCCCTCTTGGGAAAAAGCCAGTCCTTGAACTGCATCAAGAAAATTGGGGGCCAGTTTTTAAGGACTGTAAGGATGTGGTTGTTCTTTCGTTTGTTTGTTCATTACCCTAACGAATCCTTTTGCAATGGACTGTCATACACACTCTTGGCTTTATATTGACCCTGTCCTTTGGATCTTTGATACTTTTTACAACTCCCGTTGGCTAAAAACATTTTAATAGTTTCTTTGAACATGACACACTCAGGCCTCTGTTTAACGTTTTTACCACTGAGAGCAGCTAAAAGAAAATAAGTAAAATACAATACAACACAATAAAATAATCAATAATGACATTGGAGACATTTCTTTTCTGGCCTCTCACATCATTTCATAATATAGAGATGCTCAATATTTAGAAGCAGAAATTTCTGCAACGTTGCAACAAAAATGTGTTGTGGGGAGTCGGTGTCAAAAGAGTGAAGTTTTCAAACTTGTTCAAATTTGGAATCGAGGGTGAACAGTAAACGTGGTGATCAAAGAAAAAAAAAATAAAAGCAAAAAAATCCAGATCAATCTCTTGATAGTGAGAAGGAAACGGGATCCTTCTACAAAAATTCCAAACTTAGTTTCTGATATATGTTCCATTCCCCAAAAACTTGGAAAAATATTTTTTTAAAAATAACCTCTCAGCGTCCCACTTCTGAAATGGAATAGCATTAATGCCCTGCTAGGGAGAAGAAAAGAGAAAAAAAAATAGCCCTGTAAAGAGGGATCGACCATTGGAATATTTGAATTATAAAAACTTTTCTAAATCAATGGGGACAAGAAGCAGATTTGCAATATCGGGCGCTGAGATCGTTTTTTAGTAGTTTTTTAGTATCTTAGGGGCTGCCCCAAAGAAGAGGGAGTCAAGCTATTCTCCAAAGCGCCTGAAGGCAGGACAAGAAGCAACGGATGGAAACTAACCAAGGAGAGAAGCAACCTNAGAACAATTAACCAGTGGAACAACCTGCCTCCAGAAGCGGTGAATGCTCCAACACTGGAAGTTTTCAAGAAGAGACTGGACAGCCATTTGTCCGAAATGGTATAGGGTTTCCTGCCTGAGCAGGGGGTTGGACTAGATGACCTCCGAGGTCCCTTCCAACTTTATTATCATTATTATTATAGTCAAAGTCTGCCTGCAGGCATCTCCTAGGACGGTTGTGCCGGGCGGGGCTTGCTTGTCTCAGTCGCGCGCGGTGACGTCATAGGGAAGCGACTCCACCCGTGCTGTAGAAAGGCAGGAAGAACCCGTGAAGATGCCTCCGAAAGGGAAAGGCGGCGGCAAAGCGGCAAAGGGTGAGAGATGGGACCGGGGCCTCCGATTTCTTCCCTTTCCCAGTTTCCGCTTCCCGCTCCCGCTGGGAGAGGAGCCGACCAGTTCTGCTCGCCCAGCATGAAGCGGTCTCGCCTTAAGGTGGCCGGGCAAGGAATTGTGGGAGTTGTAGTTCTTGCAGATCCTGCCTGGCATTGGGGCTCGCCCTGGCTAGCTGGGACAAATGCATCGCTCTTGCACCCTTTTGGTAAAATGGAGTAGGAGGTAGAAGCAGTCAGTTGGGATGTGCAGGGCTTCCATTCGTCCCATCAGGACAGCCCAAAATGGACAAAATAGGAACAAGCTTTTCTGTCAAAATTTTCCCTTTTAGGCTGGATGCTAAGTGAAATGGCCCTTATGGATACTGTGCATGGGGTGGAAGCCCCAAAGGATGACAAGCATGATTGTTTTAACATTTATTTTTTTTTTGCTTGCTGTCTGATTCCACCAGGTGTGGAATGATAGCCTGGAGCCCAAAACATTCAGTCCAGCCCTGCCCATCGGATTCAGCCGATGGAGGTGCAGTCAGGTTAACTCCCCACCCGGATTCACTGTTGCGTTCCCTTCTTGTGTCTTTAAAGGAGGAGCATCTTCGGGCAGTGACACAGCTGACAAGAAAGCGCAAGGGCCAAAAGGAGGTGGCAGTTCCGTGAAGGTAGGTCTTCTGGTCACACCCTGCTTGAGGTGGCATCTGAGGATGCCATTCCAGTCATGAGAGTAGAATGAAGCATCATTCTCTCAAAGCAAAAAAAAATATTTCAGAGAGGGGTGAAAAGTCCAGAAAGAAAATGGCAGAGATCTGGATTTGCCCCCTCAGTATCCTAAATGTGTTAATATGTTTATGTTTAGTAAATAAAATTAGAGACAACTCCCTGCAAGTTTTCTTGGCAGCACTTTTTCAGAAGTGGTTTGTCATGACATTCTTTCCAGGGCTGAAAGACAAGGACTGGTCCAGAATCACCCAGCGTTCTTTGTGTCTAAGAAAGGAGTAAAACTCATGCACTTTTTGTTCTTTTACACCAAGCTGGGTCTCTTTATTTACTGCATGTTTATATGAAAATTTAAACAATAACTGAACAATGCTTTGGGATGAGAGAAAAATCAAATACTATTGCCAAATAAAGTTCTGCTAACTCAAATCTCTGGTTGTTTGCTACTCAGTCTCTATCTGAAGAAGACGAAATTTTGAATCTTTTTCTGCCTTCAAAGGCACTCTTTGACAATCAGAAATCAATTACCCTGGATTAAAATGGCTTTCTTCTTAGCCTCTCACCATCTTTGGGAAACTGAATTAGGGTGCTAGAAATTGCATCAAGTCAAGAATTAGTCAGCAAAAGGAAAATGATATTGTGGCTTGGCTGACCAAGTATTGAGAAAGGTAACTATACGAATATTCTTAACCTAAATGTGGAAGGACCTCTCTGTATGTATCTAGTTTGTTTTGGATTGGATTTTTTTTTTAGGTGAGGCATATTCTGTGTGAGAAACACAGCCGTGCTCTGGAAGCCTTGGAGAAACTCAAAGCTGGAGTACGTTTCAGTGAGGTAGCTGCGCAGTATAGTGAAGACAAAGCCAGACAAGGGGTATGTCCTTTTTGTTTCTCCGAAGTAGAGCAACAATATTTGCAGAATCATTTCTTAAGACGAATAAAGTGTTTTCTCCAGTCGCATGACTAATCTCTTTACCTTTCCTCTTGTTTTGCCCAAAATTAGGTTACTTAAGTTACTTAAGAACTGAAATGCAGAAATAATGCATGTATATATAGAATATTCTAGCAAATGGTTTACATAGGGTGGAATAGGTCCTTTTCACCATCCTTTGCATCATTGCCTGGTGCTTGTTTTCCAGGGAGATCTGGGCTGGATGAGCAGAGGCTCCATGGTGGGGCCTTTCCAGGATGCAGCGTTTGCCTTGTCCGTCAGCAGCATGGACAAACCGGTGTACACTGATCCCCCTGTTAAAACCAAATTTGGATATCACATAATCATGGTGGAAGGGCGAAAATAATAAACATTAGACGCTATGCCAGGAGTTTTTGACTCTTTTTTTCCTCTCCTTGTCAAGCGTTGTGAAAAAAAGGACTTGGCTTTTCGTTCAAGGGGTGTTGTGGCTGAAAGATCGAGTTGCTCCAATCTATATGACATTATTCTGCATTAAACAGGTCACTTGCCTTGGGGCACAGCATGCACAGAAATAAAAAACATATTTTGTTACCCACTTGTGGCCCAAAAATGGAAACTGAGTCCGGGTAACAATCTACCTCAGCTATCCAAACAAAAGAAAAGCTGGAACGTGCATATGCCTTTATGTATTTATCCTGCATTTTCCTGGTTACACAGTTTTGCTTGGGGATTACTTTTTGTCGGAGCAATGGCAATAATTGTGCGCTGCATCGGTCAAAAAATGAAGTTCTATTAACGCTGAAGGCGAACAGTTAACAGCAGGGCTCTTCAAACTTGGCCCTCTGATGGCTTGGGGACTTCAACTCCCAGAATTCCTCAGCCAGCCAGGGCTGGCTGAGGAATTCTGGGAGTTGAAGTCCCCAAGTCATCAAAGGGCCAAGCCAGCCAGGGCTGGCTGAGGAATTCTGGAGTTGAAGTCCCCAAGTCATCAAAGGGCCAAGCCAGCCAGGGCTGGCTGAGGAATTCTGGGAGTTGAAGTCCCCAAGTCATCAAAGGGCCAAGCCAGCCAGGGCTGGCTGAGGAATTCTGGGAGTTGAAGTCCCCAAGCCGTCAAAGGGCCAAGTTTGAAGAGCCGCCCTTGGTTACCAGCGGCGCTCTGCCCAATCACGTGGCGCGCGCGTCACGTGACCCAACTTCCATCACAAGAGGGAAAAGTTTTTCAGCTTCTTTCTCTCCTGCGGGAGACGATTGGCCGAAGGGGCGGGAGCGCTGCGATTGGCCGAGAGGGAGGAGCGGAGGGCTGCGATTGGCCGCAGCGCATCGTTCCGAGAGTCCCGGCCTGATTCGGAGGAGAGAAGCCGGAATGGCCGGAGGGCGAGCGGGGCTGTGGCTGGGCGCCCTGCTGGCGGCGGCGGTGGGCTTGGCCGCCGCGCTGGACAACGGGCTGGCGCGGACGCCGCCCATGGGCTGGCTGCACTGGGAGCGCTTCCTCTGCCAGACGGACTGCGAGCGGGAGCCCCACGACTGCATCAGGTAGGACGATGCTCGTGGCGGTCCTCGAAGGCCGCCCTGCCTGCCTCTCCCCCCCCCCCCTTGGTGAAGGAGCAAGTGGCGCGGAGCCTCTAAGGGAGGTGTCGCCTCTGCCTGCTCCCTTCCCAGACTCCCACGCCTGCCCGTTGCTTGTCCTAGTCCAGGGGTAGGCAAGCTTGGCTCTTTTAGGACTCGTGGACTTCAGCTCCCAGAATTCCTGAGCCAGCATGGCTCAGCTTGGAAACCTCTCCCTTTCCCCTCAGCATGGCTGGCTCAGGAATTCTGGGAGTTGAAGTCCACAAACCATGAGGGGGCCATAGTTCCCCCATGCTGGCTCAGGAATTCTGGGAGTTGAAGTCCACGAGTCATGAGGGGGCCATAGTTCCCCAGCCTTGCTTCTAGTCCAGGGGTAGGCAAGCTTGGCTCTTTTATGACTCGTGGACTTCAGCTCCCAGAATTCCTGAGCCAGCATGGCTCAGCTTGGAAACCTCTCCCTTTCCCCTCAGCATGGCTGGCTCAGGAATTCTGGGAGTTGAAGTCCACGAGTCATAAAAGAGCCAAGGTTGCCTACCCCTGTCCTAGTCTCTCATCCGTCAGCCGCTCAATTCACACACCCTTTAACTGAACTGGTTAAGTCAGCCCAGGAATCACACAAGAAAGAGTCAAGTCCAAACTATGCTGTCTCTATCTATCACTCTATCTATCACTCTATCTATCACTCTATCTATCACTCTATCTATCTATCTATCTATCTATCTGTCTGTCTGTCTGTCTGTCTGTCTGTCTGTCTATCTATCTATCTATCTATCATCTAGGTCTATACATATATTTTATATAGTATATTTAAATCTGTGTTATGTATGTGTACACTTTGAGAGCAAGCTACTAAATTTCATTTTTAATGTGTGCCATTGTGCCCACAGTAAAAATGACAATAAAGGTTATCTATCTGTCTATCTATCTGTCTGTCTTTCTATCTATCTATCTATCTATCTATCTATCTATCTATCTATCTATCTATCTATCAATCATCTACCGCTATATCTATCTATCTATCTATCTATCTATCTATCTATCTATCTATCTATCTATCTATCTATCTATCATCTACCGCTATATCTATCTATCTATCTATCTATCTATCTATCTATCTATCTATCTATCGATCTATCTATCTATCTATCTATCTATCATCTAGGTCTATACATATATTTTATATAGTATATTTAAATCTGTGTTATGTATGTGTACACTTTGAGAGCAAGCTACTAAATTTCATTTTTAATGTGTGCCATTGTGCCCACAGTAAAAATGACAATAAAGGTTATCTATCTATCTATCTATCATCTATCTATCTATCTATCTATCTATCTATCTATCTATCTATCTATCTATCTATCTATCTATGCTGTGATCTTAAAAATATGTTAATATTTTTTTAAGACATGAAAGGTGCAATTAAACACGGCTACTCTTAGAAACAACAGACAACAATTGAAAAAAGGAAAGCCCCTGGTTTTACAGATTTAAATGGGCAGCTCATTGCCCTGTTTGTATAGCCGTATTTCCCCTTAGAGAATAATTTGAATTTCCCCTGGGTGTAATAGGACAAAACTCTCTCTCTCTCTCTCTCTCTCTGTGTGTGTATTCAGATTTCTTTTTGCTGAATTTGTAATGTATCGCAGTTGCGACTTGAGCCTGCTTAATGCCCCTAGTTGGGCTGCAAGGCAAAAGAGATTATACTGTATATATATAAAAAAAGTAGAACTGCAGTATAGCAGTCAAAATGCCAAGGTGCAATCAATCAGACCGGTCTGTCTGAAAAACTTTCTGTATATATATGTCTGTCTGAAAAACTTTCTGTATACATATACATACATACATACATACATACATACATACATACATACATACATACATATAAACACACACACACACACACACACACACACAGAGTGCTTTTTTGTATATATTAAAAAAAAGTGCCGGAACTCACATACATCATACAACCTGCCTTGCCTACCCTACAAGGTTCCATCCAAAAAAAGCTGCCGGAACTCTGTTCTGTGACAAAAAAGCCCCATATGTGTGTGTGTGTGTGTTTTATGATGTACCCAGGCCCAAATCTTCGAATCTCAGAAGGGTATAGCTAGCTGATGAGAGCTAAGGAGCTTGAAATAGCTATACCTGCTTCCCTTCAACTCATATATATATATGTATGTCTCTAGGGTTCATTTGGAAGAAAATACTCCGGTCCTTTTTTTAGCAAAGAACTGTGATCAGGTTTATTAGAAACGTTGGATTTTTAAAGGACTGGAAGGTTATCACTGGAATTCTGGTAGTGTTTTCATCAACAAAACAACTGAAACTCATGGCATTTTGTCCTAGCAATTTTAATTTAGGCTGTCATTTTTCTTCAGAAGTAGAGATAAGTATCTACCATAGATCCGTGGTTCTTAAACTATTTGACCCAATTACTCCTTTTCCTGATCTTGAATGTCATTACTCCCACACACAAAAAAGCACCACAGATTAGTAACCCCAGCTTATTGTCAAATTACCCCCTTGTGTAATCACTCCCAGTGAACAGCTCTTCATGCAGATGGCTGACCGGATGGCGTCGGAGGGATGGAAGGAGGTTGGGTACCACTTCCTGTGCATCGATGATTGTTGGATGGCTCCCACCCGCGATAAACAGGGACAGCTGCAGCCCGACCCCAAACGCTTCCCCGGCGGGATTAAGAAACTCGCAGACTATGTGAGTGGGTGCTTGGGAATTTTCTCTTGGGGGAAGCTGGAAGTTAAAAGGTAGGAATGCTAGATGGATGGCAGCTGTTGCTGCCACTGTTGTTAATCCAATTTCCCTCTAAAGAAGGTGGGAGAGATTTTCTAAACAAAAGCAATTTATACTTTGCCTTCTGTATAAATTTCTAACTGCAAACCATAAATTACTCACCTAACTCACTTTCTCCACAATTCCATAAGAATCATTCTGCTGGATCAAATCAAAAAGTTCTAACCTGGGGTGGAGGTTGACTCTCTGTCTCTGTTTTCTTCAAATCTTGAAGGCAGTCCATAATGGGACTTCGGACTCCTTGGTCTCTGTCTTCAGCAACTGATATTTAGAGGTAGACTGCAACTGTGGGTGGTGGTTTCACCTGGATATTTCCTCTAGTATGTGTTGATAAAACTAATCTGCATTTGTAATCTAAATTTCTGCTCCTTCTGCTGATGGCATATTTTTTTGTCTTTCTCACCCTCTCTCTGTCTGGGCCCCTTCGAAGCAGCCTACCTACACATGGGCCAGATATTTTAGAGGTATAATTTTGCATTCTATACTTGCTGGGGAATTTTGAGTATATAGGCCCACACATCTGGAGAGTGCCAGGTTGAGAAAGTTTAGCTTGAGTATGTTTTGTTTTATTTTTTTGAGGAATGCTTAGGAAATATAACTTGCCTGCTGTTTTCTGATCTTGCCTTTGCTTTTCCTGTTGGCATCCGTGATTCAGGTCCACTCCAAAGGGCTGAAGCTGGGCATTTATGCCGACATTGGGAATAGAACGTGTGCTGGCTTTCCCGGCAGCTACGGCCACTACGAACAGGATGCAGAGACCTTCGCCAGCTGGGGGGTGGATCTGCTGAAATTCGACGGATGTGACTTTGGGACTCTGGATGAGATGGCTGAAGGTGTGTTTGCGACAGGAAGCGGAGTCAGTAAAAGAGGTTAACTGTTAAGTTCATGCAACCTGCTAAGCCTTGGCTGTAAGCCACAGCTGGAAGGATTCACACAACCAATATCTCACAAAGCAGGGTTGTCCAACATTGACAACTTGTTGGCTGGGGACTTCTGGGAGTTGAAGTCCACAAGTCTTAAAGTTGCCAAGGTTGGACAACTCTGTGATAAAGTGTAGCTGACAAGCCACTGTTGGCCTCCGGTTTGTTAGTTTATATGGAAAGCCATATAGTAAATATATACCAGCTAGACTTTGGCAATTGATATTGGTGCTTTGCTGCCACCTGTCTGGCACTATGCTATGTTAAATTTTCTGCCATTTTTAATGAGTGCTTCTACCACTCATTACCATTGGTCTGGGAAGATCCGAGGAGGCCTGCCCTGGGAAGAGGGTTGGGCTACATTTACAGTGTTTCTCAACCTTGACAATTTTAAGGCATGTGGACTTCAACTCCCAGAGTTCCACAGCCAGCATTGTTGGCTGTGGAATTCTGGGAGTTGAAGTCCATATGCCTTAAAATTGTCAAGGTTGAGAAACACTGGGCTAGAAAATCTCCATGGTCCTTTCCAATCCTGTGATTCCATGTCTAAATAAAGAGAGTCCTTATCTAGCAGCTGCCTCATTTAGCAACCATTCACAGTTACAATTAAAAGGCAATTTTGCAGCTCAATCCCTGCATTTCTGACTTTTGCAGGCCTATAAGCAAAAGAAAGCTGAAGCAAGATTGTAACGGTTGGGGTTTCACTTAGCAACTGCTCCCCTTAATGATGGAGTTGCCAATCTTAACTGTGGTCACTAAAGGAGGAGTCCAGAGAAGTCAAGCTTGGCTGATGTAGGCCTACCTTTTCTTGCAGATGTTGGGAAAGGCTGGAATATTTTAATGATGGGCTGTTTCTTTTTCCTACCAGGCTATAAGAAAATGTCATCAGCTTTAAATAAAACTGGCAGAAATATTGTATATTCCTGTGAATGGCCACTTTACCAGAGACCCTTTCAAAAGGTAAGGAGGGATTCTTTTGACCTCTTTCTAGGAGAAAACAGTCAGCAGGTTTGTATGTATCTGGTAAAGAAGGCTTAACTGTGTCGAGCAGGGATCTGACTCCGTACTAAAGCAGCTTCCTACAATTTCTCAAGTTTGTTCAGTTGTGCTGTTTATTTATGAGGTTCTCCCACTTGCAACTTGAAAAGCCTTTTCTGATTCTTCGAATCTCTTCTACTCAATTTTTAAGTCTGGAGGTATGAAATAAATGTGTCTTCTTTGCGTTTTTCCTGGCAGGTCAACTATACAGAAATTAAGCAATACTGCAATTACTGGAGGAATTATGCTGACATTTCCGATTCCTGGATCAGCATCAAGAATATCTTAAATTGGACTTCTTCAAACCAGGACATTCTGGTTGACATAGCAGGGCCGGGTGGCTGGAATGACCCAGACATGGTAAGAAAATCTGCCCTGGGGCCAATTGCCCAGCCGGTGTAAATGGGCCTGTTAATGGCCTGCATATTCATCAAACCAAAATGGTAAAATCAAAGTAAAATCAGTAGGCTGATACATGATTATTGCTTTGAATGATAACAGTTGGAATCTCAAAGGTGATTTCCCCCCCCCCCCAAAGGCAATTGGATTGTTTTTTTTTCCTTAAGAAGACATTTTGCTTCTCCTCCAAGAAGCTTCATCGGTTCTGGCAGGATAGTGGGGTGATGGACCTGCCAGAACCGATGAAGCTTCTTAGATGAGAAGTGAAATGTCTTCGTCTCAAGGAAAAAAGCCAGTCCAGTTACCTTTGGGGGGGGGGAAAGCACCTTGAGACAACTATGACTTGGATGACTGAGAATCCCCAGACATTTAAAAATTGGAGTGTTGAAGTAATAGCTTTGTTCCCATGGACAGTTATCTAGTTTCAGGGGGCCTCCTGTGACATTTTGGGGGGACTTGATGTGTTCCAGAAGTAGGGCAGGGAGGCAAAGCGGGTGAGGTCTTTTTAAAGGTTTATTCAACTTATCAAAACTTCCACACCGCCAGTCTCCCCAAAGCGACTCTGAGCAGTTGACAAACAAAAACTTGCTGTCAGGCTTACCGTCCCATTTCCTATTTCCAAATGGCAGGAAATTTCAGCAAAATAAGTTTAGCAAGAGTAGCCATCAGAGCACCCTGATGGCAGCAGAGAAAGGGGCCCATTCAGCAACGACTGAAATGCAACAGTTGGTTGGTGGCAGACCCTCCCGTGTCCCCAGGGCATGGAAGTTGTGAGCCTCGTTCCCTTCTTCCGCGTCAAATGTAAAAGCTCCAGAACAATTCACCACCCAGCATTAGATGGAACTGGCAGGGAAGGTGTTCCAGACATTGTACCAATAATCCATAACCTGGTTTCTTTGGATTTTGGCTTAACACGATGTGTGAACCCAGTTTCCAAGAGATCTGGTTTTTGGAAGGTGAATCTCCCAGGGGTTGAGTCAGGAACTCCTCTGTGATCCTTTATGTTCCTGGGGAAGGAGACTTTCATGGCCAGAATCTCTCCGTTCCTACTCTCCAGCTGAATTTTGTAGTGTGAAAGGCACTTTCCTTTCCAGCTTGTGATTGGAAATTTTGGACTGAGCCGGGACCAGCAAATAACACAGATGGCGTTTTGGGCTATTATGGCAGCACCGCTGCTGATGTCCAATGACCTGCGTCAGATCAGCTCCCAGGCCAAGGCTCTCCTCCAGAACAAGGAAGTGATAGCGATCAACCAGGATCCCTTGGGCAAGCAGGGCTACCGAATTACCAAGGTAAGACCATCCCTGGAGGCTTCAGCTGCAGGTCAAGGACAGAGTTTTAAATATAGTACACTATAATTGTGATTTAAGATACCTCCCTCCCCTATTTATTGGGTTTTGAATGCAACCAACATTTTCATCCTTGAATAAACACACAAGCCTGTTGCACCCAAAGCAGCCTCGACAAAGCCCTTAAATGTATGTTAAATTATATTTACATTGCTTGAATCGTTTTGCCATCTGCGTAAGTTCCAGTACACAAATGATAAAAAAAATCACCATAAATGACCTATTTTAGAAATTAATAGATCCATCGTCCCTCAAACATTCCATTAGCTTTAATATGCTTGTATTTTGTGTAATAATGTACTCTGAAATACACGCCTAGTTAAAAGGAATTGATATGAACTTAAGAGTATTCTTGTATGTATCCTTGGTGATAGTTAACTTTGAGAACTAAGAAGGTTATGTTTCAATGCTTATCAATTTTACAATTATTAAATGATGCCCTCCGTAACAAGAACAAATAGGGAGACTGGATTCATTTAATGCATCCATTCTTGGCCTCTTACTGTGTAATCTGATTAAGGATGTATTCATGCTTCTTCTGACTGAGGTTATTCTCCCTAGGGCCAAAGCTTTGAGCTGTGGGAACGCCCGCTCTCGGATGGAGCGTTTGCTGTAGCTGTACTAAACCAGAAGGAGATGGGTGGGCCACAGTCCTTTGTCCTTGCTACCATGATCCTTGGCAACGGCTTAGCTTGTAATCCCAGTTGTTTGATCCAGCAAATTCTTCCTACCAGGAGGGATTTCGGACTACACAACTGGGTTTCATTTTTGAAACTGGTGGTGAACCCAACTGGTACTGTGTTGCTGAAGATAGTGAACACAAGCACACTTTTTACTGACAATGGAAGAAGCCACCCTAACGATCTCTTATAACATGACGTCCTCTCCTCGCAAACGCTTTCAAGAGGATCTAAGGCAAAGCCCTAAGAAACCCTCCCAAAAGAAAATCCAAGGAAAATTGCGGTAGTCTTTCCTTCAGGAAGCTGACGGTCAAGAAATGCCGAGATGGTCTTTTCGGAATTCTCAGATTTTAAACCTCAAAAGGACGACAGTCTTTCTTTCTTTCTGGAGGCACAGCTGGAAAGCAAAATTAGCGCCGATCGTGTTTACAAACACAACCAACCGTTGCGGTACAGTAGCAGTTTGTTTTCCTGTGCTGTGGGTGGGCTCTGCCGGGACACAAAAAAATATGACCGCAATTGTATATACTTGCAATTGCTTCTCAACCGTCACTGGATCAAAATTAGGGATATGTGAGGATGCAATAGCTCTACGGGCAGATTGTACAATAACTGAAGAAATTCTTAAAAGAGGATTTGGGCACACTTTTGTCACTCCACTAAAACCCAGCAGATAGATTTTAAAAGTACTACGTAACTTGACAAAACTTTTGGTGAGTTGCAGAAGCTTCTAAATTGAGACTGGAGTCTGCACCTACCTCCGAATGGCACTACCTCATTTAACCTTGAGAATTCCAGCCCTTAACGTCTGAACCTTAATTTTGCAGTTCATTAAAATGCTTTTTGCCCCAATCTGAATAAATCTTTTCTGCCTTATTGACGTGTGCTACCGGTAGCTTTCTCCAAGGCAGCCACTGACTTGAGGACCCAGTTTATGATCAGGTCAGCCAAACTCTCATGTTTATTCCAGTTGCTGTTACTGCTTGAAGGAAAACGAAGACAAAAGGAATCTAATCAATTCTTTTGAGCCAATTCACGGAAGGAGATTAAAATGTCAAAGTTTTGAGAAAGTTTCTTCAAACAGAAGAAACGCTCTTTTCATAAATATGTACATTAAAAACTGCAATTAATGTCTTGAAAATAAAGAACGTGGAGCGCTTTTACTTTTTTGCTTTTGAACACAATGTATTTTCAGTGCATTTTAATGTGCTTTCAATGATATGCTTTTGAATATAATGTACTAAACCAGTGGTTCTCAACCTTTTTAATGCCGCGACCCCAACCGGTCGTAAGTTGAGGACTAAACCGGTCGTATGTCGAGGACTAAACCGGCCGTAAGTCGAGGACTAAACCGGCCGTAAGTTGAGGACTACCCAACCGGTCGTAAGTCGAGGACTTTCCCTGTCCGGGAGCGCCGCGCATGCGTGGTTCTGCCCCCTGCGCCGGCCGAGGCGTAGCTGGCAAGCGGCAGAGACGGAGCAGGCCGACCACCAGCTGGCCCAGCCCAAGGGAGGTAAGGCACCCGCCGGAAAAGGGGGGAAAAAATGGCGGACAGCCTTGCTTGGTGACCCCCGTGAAATGGTCGATCGACCCCAAATGGGGTCCCGACCCACAGGTTGAGAACCACTGTACTAAACAGTGAATGTATAGAATTAGAATGTGTGGAATTGGATAGAAACTCTTACCCAACAGGCAGGAGACAACTGAAAAAGCCTTTTCCTCCCACATTTATTTTCCCAAATCAGGAGCAGTTTCTTCAGCTAATCACATTCCTTATTTTGTTACCAATGTGCGCTTTGTGGGAAGAACAGTCTTCATATTGGATGAACTCTTGAGGATATCTCCCAACAACGAGCAACAAAGAAAGTACAACATATCATTGTGTTCTGATAGAATTTTAATGGGTTCCATACCAAAGAATATCTAGAACTGGATGACCTGGCCCTGTGAAAAGAGAAATAAAGACATCGACTGAGGATCTGCAATAGTGACAAATGAAAACACATTTTGTTTCATGAATTTTCAATTTGAAAAGAATCCTTCTCTTAGAAAACTGAAAATATACCCTAGACTTAATTACAAATTTATGGATTCAGGATCTTGGGAGATGCAATTCTAGGAAGCTCCAGATAACATTCTCCAACCTGGTTCTCCCCATTTTTCCAAGTGTGATAGGCTGCAATCCCTGTTCCCTGTGGTTTTATGACAACTTGGACAGTATAATTCTAGGACTGTCTTATTTTATCACCATATCCAGACAGATGTTATTTTTTAAAAAAAAGATGTATCCTAGTAAAAGAAAACTAGTCAAATTTATCACATTTCTCTATATTCCTTACTCAAATACTTTCTATTTATTGTTTGCATTCCATCCAATTCAGCGCTAGTCTGGTGTTCCAAATGAAAGCTGCCATCTCCAGAACTGCTAAGCACGTCATCATCCAAGCAGTCTTGTTTGGTAACACTAAAGCAGGGGTCTTCAAACCTGGCTACTTTAAGACTTGTGGACTTCAACTCCCAGAATTCCTCAGCCAGCCCTGAGGTCGAAGTCCACAAGTCTTAAAAGTTGCCAAGTTTGAAGACCTGCACTAAAGCAACGGCTCAACCGCTGCCCAGAACATAGCTCAAGTGGTACCTTTCTCTTTTTGTCTCCTCCCAACTCAAAGTGCTTGCACCTCTTGATGGCCAGCATCCTCTTCGACCTGCAGTTCGGTTCCACGCACTCCAGTCTCAGCACAATCTTTTTTGTGGTCTTGGCCTGCAAGCAGGAAAGAGAAGGTGTCATACATCCTCAAGCCAGATCATTTCAGAAACTTTACCCTTCTCAGTCTTCTCTACATCTGCTGCGAGGCAAAGTGGCGGAGATGCAGAAGTGGAAGCTTCAGACTTTGAAGGCTACTAATTTCTGGAAAGATAAACCTTTCTTGACGTGGGGCCTACTCAATAATGTCAGAGTCTAACAAGGTAGAGCAGACTAAGACAGCAATGCCATATACTATTATGACTACTGTTATTGCAGCTGCAGTGAGAGTATCTTGCATGTCTGAATGTGCTCTCCTCCTTTACTTGATCTTCGTGTAAATTATGGAGGGGCTTCTGGGGACATGTTATTTTCTTGGCCTGGGCCCAAGACCCTTTTATTGGACCGTTGCCTTGATGGCAACTCTTCAAGGCCATCCCCTATGCCCTTGACAGTCTCTGTCAGCATCCTAACAAAGAAAAGGGGTCAAATTCTCTTATCTTCCAACATTAATTCTTCAAATAAGATTCAACAGTCTGGGCAGCATCCAGGGCCTTCCAAATGGAAGCTTACCTTCTTCCGGAAGATGGGCTTTGTCTGACCACCATAGCCGCTGCGCTTACGGTCATATCTCCGCTTTCCTAAAAGAAAGTTTCCTTAGATAAAACCACGGTCTGTTTCTTCTCAACTGCAAACCTCCCGAGTCAACAAACGGGACCGATTATTTCAACACAAATCATCCTTATTTACTGATTTTTTTTTTATACACTATGGCTGTCGTTTATGGAATGTTTCAATGCTTCCCTTTGGCTCCTGGGTTTTGTAGAATGCCCAACTGCACGGTTTTTTCTCCCCCCCCTACTTTTGAGGCTTTTTGTTCTTAATATGTATAAGCAGTTTAAACATTTTTTCTTTACAAAGAGAAATTTACAAAGAGAAATTTAGTACAATGTGACCTCTGTATCTCTTGTTTGGATGGAAACGAATTGAAAGGGTGGCCCTTTTCTCCCCTTATGGAGAAGAAACAAAGGCTTTTAAAAAAAACCAAAACCACGTGTATATATTTAGAAACTGACACAAACAAGGTACCCAAGAATAAATCAAAGCGTGGAAAGGAAATGAGGCCCCTTTCTTTCATAATGAAAAGAAATCGGGAAGTGAGAACGCAGCGCTGTAACGCAAGGAGGGCTAATTAGAGACTGGTGCGCCCAAACCACCACAACTCACCTTGAGCGTACAGAGACTCTTTACCCTTCTTGTACTGGGTGACTTTGTGGGGCTGATGCTTCCCACATTTCTTGCAGTAAGTCCTGCGGGTTTTGGGGACGTTCACCTGTCAAGGAATCAGTTTTACACCAATGAGTAGAACTGCCATGCTGACTCAAGGAATTCTGGGAGTTGAAGTCCACAAGTCCTAAAAGACCCCTGGCTAAGACTTAACAATCGAAGATGCACGACAGGAGAGGAAAACGAGACAGGGAGGGAGAAGGAAAACTGAAGTTCAGGGATCAGTTCTTTTAAGCATCACGGAGTCTTTTGGAGAGATCTGATTGGCTGCTGCCCTGAGAACTAGGCCTAAGCCAGGGCAGGGCTGTTAGTAGTTAAGAGTGAACCACGTCCTGTATTCCTTCCGTATTTTGCTCCGGCTTTACCAAACATAAAACCAACGTTCCTTTTCTCCACGTCCCACGGGAGCCCCACAGCCGTGGCATTCGGTCTTGGCCGCTTCCCTCGGCTCCGCTCCGAGGCCCCAACCCTCAATCCCAGCGGCGGATGGAACCGGATTCGTTTAACTCACCATCTTGCCGACGTTAGCGGCGCCCAGAGAAAGAGCCTCTCGCTGGAAGCGGAAGTGAAGACCATAGAGCAGGGGAAAAAAGGAAGGAAGCTTGGTGGACAGAGCGCCGTACCCAGCCAAACACGGTTTGGAAGAAATCAGGAAATCGCGACTGCCATCTGTCGGAAAAGGCAGGAAGTGGAGGCGGTAGGAGAGCCAAATACTGTAGTGTAGGCAAAGAGGTTGGGATAATTCCCTTTTTTTTTTCATCGTTTCGTGAAAGCGTTGTCCGTGATTTAGGTTCAAAATCACTCAAATGACCAGAGGAGGAACCGTATTTACGTGCCGGACACGCAAAAAAGCAGAAGGGTGGTTTCCCGCCCCTGTCCTTTTTTTGGGGGGTGGGGTGGGGTAGGCATTTTTATCTGGAAGAAAAAGAGATCATCGTTTCTTTGTAGTGGAATTCGCGGAAAGAGGAAGCCTCGATGGCTTTGCAACCTTAGGGGTTTTTTTTTCTTTTTCTTTCTTTCCAGACTTCATCCGAGTTGAGGCCAGGCATGCCAGGGCTTGTGTCTCTCCACATGCACAGAAGGTCGTTGGTTTATTTTTAGCTTAGTCTGTGGTTGGAAATCAGCCAGATGTGACTTCAGTCATGATTGAACAAACCGTGGCCAAGTGACATGTCAGAATCCAGCCGGCCGAAGTCAAGTCCACGATGTCGACAAGACACCTCATCGAATTAGACCAGTTTGGAAAAGCCACGTTTTAATTTGGATCGATTGTTCCTTGCAGAATAAGACAAGGCAGGCTGTGGCTAAAATCAGTGCTACCAAATACAGTAACTACAGGGTCAGAGACAGTTATTACGCAAGACCCTGATAACCAGACCTTTACAACCAACATTAAACCCCAGTTCAGGCTGCAAAAGGAATCTCCTCTGGGGACTGGCTTCGTACCACACACCGAACCATAATTGGCTTCACGCTGGTTTGCTGAATAAGCTTCGTTTCGCTGGGCTATAGGAACCATACATTTCAGGGCATGGAGTATATGGATTGGGACCACACAGTACACAGCTAAACCCAAACCAATCCCAGGGCTTAATGTGTGTGGGATTGAATCCACTGTTTACCCAAACTAGGGAACATCATCAGTGCTAGCTCTGATGATGTTCCCTAGTTGGGTCATGAAACGTCTGCAAGGAAACAACTAAAGCGCGGAGAAAACCAAGGACCCCTCATTTCAACCCTGAGCTTCAAATATTCTCCTTTATTAGGGTCTACCTTGGGATTGTCCCCCTTTTCAGTTAAACTCTTCATGCCAACCACAGCTACTTTGGTCTCTTGTGCTTTGCTGTGCCAGCCGTTCTTTCAATAGGCCATAGCTAAAGTAGCAAACTTTTGGATTCCACAGGATGTTTCCAACCCAACTGTTGGAGGAAGAATACTGTGCAACTTTAGGTGAAAACCTTTTGTTGGTCCCTTTTGGTCTCCGTGGTTGGCTTCCACATCTGTCCAGCAGTCCTTTCACACCTGGAGACGATTTCATTGCCTTTGGGGGGGGGCAAAGACTAGAGATCCCTTCTTCCCTCCCCCCAAAATTAAAATATTCTTCTTTTGCACCCATGTGGCCTCTCAGTGAGAGGAAACACAGTTCGGTCAGAAACTAAGAAAAGAGGAACTGAAAGGGTGGGGTTGGCTCAGATGAGAGCTGGACTGCATGTTGTTCAATGTGGCTCTTCCAATCAATCTCCGGCCACTGCCATCGCTGTCACCCTCTGCTCAAACATCAGGAAGGCAGTGGGGGTCACATCTCCCAGGATCTGGGGGGGCCTCGCTGAAAGGATTGGCTGTCATCTGCGGAAGGAAAGAAAGAGGAAATAGCCAGTAAGTGACTTTGTTTCTCTATATCTATCTACGGTATCTGTCTGTCTGTCTGTCTGTCTGTCTGTCTGTCTGTCTGTCTGTCTATCTATCTATCTATCTATCTACCTCTATTTCTACCTCTATTTCTACCTCTACCTCTTCCTCTTCCTCTGTCATCTCTCTCTCTCATCTCTATCCCTTCCTTCCTTCCTTCCTTCCTTCCTTCTCTTTCTTTCTTTCTTTCTTTCTTTCTTTCTTTCTTTCTTTCTTTCTTTCTTTCTTTCTTTCTTTCTTTCTTTCTTTCTTCATTCTAGCAGAGAAAGAGCTTTTAAGCAATTAAAATAATTGTTCTATGTCCATATCGGGTTAATGCCTGGAGGAGAAATAAATACAAACATTTGATATAATATTTACATCTGCCTGATGCACACTCCTCTAACGTGGCACCTTTCTGGGAACCCACCCTTGCAAATCTCTGAGAATGCAGCTGTCCACTTTAGGCAGACTGAAAGCTTACAGGGCATGCAACGCAAGGCGATTCTTGATTTTTTTTAAAAAAAATTTTACACAGACGGGGCAGCTGCACTAACTAACAGATGTGTGCATTTTCAAGAGAGAAGCTCTCTTTCTTCCTATTTGGCATGGACATTTTGTAGAGGCCTAGTTTTACTCAGAAGCAAGTTGTGTCTACTTGACTTTTGTAGGATTTCAGCCTTCAGTCTTCTAAAGAGTTGCTCTGGCTGGGTTCATGCATGCCACTCATCTTTGTAATATGTGGTTTGCAAAGCACAACGGCCAAATTCACATGATCTGTGAAGTTAAAGCCCAACACAAAGATGCAAAGAAGGGCAGACCAAAGGTAGATACTGGATATAGTTAGCTTGAAGGAAAGGTAAGCAGGGCAAGGATTAGCAGTGCACAATTGGGTTTTTCTAGAACCTGAAGGCACCTTGCGTCAACCTTTTCTTAAAGTTAGACTTTAGAAGGCAGACTCCAGTTATTATGGAAATCATCCTGGCAGGAGCAGCATTTTGACAACAGAGATACTGCTCAGGGGAGATTGTGAGGTTGGCTCGGCTGAGCGTCTTCAACCAGAAGGTGGTTTAGGACTCCAGACTTCCTTTGCTTGATGTTAGGGTTGCATAGCTCCAATTTTTTCATAAAGCACATTGGTACACAATAAGTGCTGAACCGGTGCAAAAATGGGGTTGCAGAGTATGTCAAAATGATAACCATTTCCCTGACTGGAGGCAACTGGTTCAAGGAAGTACTGTAGCACTTCCTTTTTTCCCCTTTTTAATTCAAGCTGTTTTCTCAGGATGTTAGAGTCTAATATCTAATAATAGTCTAATTGCATGCCAAAATAACTAGACACACAAAAGCAGTTTTCCCCCTGTGCCATCACTCTGCTGAACACCTAATTCCCACAGCACTGTCTTATACTTAAAGGTATTTACCCATGTAGTAGGGCTGTATTGCTATTATCCTCATATTCTCATCTTTCTCATCTTCTCATTTCTCAGCCTTTCTTATCTTCTCATCTTTCCTACTACCTTCTATTGGTAACTTATGATTTATTAGTTTGTTTCTTATGACTGATTGTAATTATTTATGATCTATGACGTTGTTTGTACACTGAGAGCGTATGCACTGGAGACAAATTCCTTATGTATCCAATCACATTTGGCCAATAAAGAATTCTATTCTATAAGCACTATGGTATCCATCCATATCTGTGTGGCAGAAATGAAAAATAGATTAGCTCCAGGGATGGGATTCAAATAGGTGAACAACCAGTTCCCTGTGTGGATGCTGCTTCTGGAAGTCCATTCTGGACCTGGGCAACAAAAATTAGCTACCGGTTCTGCCGAAATGGTGCGAACTGGCTGAATCTCCCCATTGATTAGCCCTCATTAGCACTGCCATTTTGTGGCCATCTGCACATTACTACTGAAGTAGATTAAAAGTATAGTAGTAAGATGTACCATGAAGAATATGAATATTCAGTTTTTTGGCTATCCTCATATGTTTGCCCCTTCAAAATAATGTTGTTGAAAGATACCAAGATATTTTTTTGCAGGTTACACAAATGAAGAATATTGCTTAAGTTAATACAACTGGAGTGAGCCTATATTACACAATGCCATATATGCAGAGAGTAGATAATGTACATAATAATAATAATAATAATAATAATAATAATAATAATAATAATAATTATTATTATTATTATTATTATTATTATTATTACAAAATACAAAGACCTACAAATAGAAATAGAAAGACTGTGGCAAAGGCAAGCCAGGGTAGTACCAATAGTAATAGGCGCCTTGGGTGCAATCCCAAAACAATTGGAGCACCACTTGGACACCATTGGCATTGACAAATTCGCCATTAGTCAATTGCAAAAGGCAGCCTTACTAGGAACTGCTTCCATCCTGCGACGATATCTGTAATAACATCAAACATCCACATCTGCCTATCCCAGGTCCTCGATAGGTAGACAAAATGCCAAATCCAGTCTGAACATCTGGCTGACTGTGCAATGATCCATATTATTATTATTATTATTATTATTATTATTATTATTATTATTATTATTATTATTATTAATAATAATAATAATAATAATAATAATAATACATTTTTATGCCACTTGACCTGCCAGCAAATATACAGAATTTAGTACTTCTGGCTACAAAATTTAGCATTCCTGGTTAAGTCAAAGACTTTTATATATATCACTAGACAGAAATAAACCCCACTGTTTGTGCAACCACCCACAATAATATATTATTAAAGCATCAGGCTAGAAAGTGGAAGGCGGTGAGTTCTAGTCCTGCCTTAGCCATGAAAGCTAGTTGAGTGACTTGGGGCTAATCCCTCTCTCCCAGCCCCACCCCACCCCACAGGGTTGTCGTTATGGGGAAAATAGGAGGAGGGAGGTATGAATATGTTCGTTACGTTGAGTTATTTGTAAAAATAATAAAGGCAGGATAGGAATAAATAAGTAGGATAAAAACTATTCAATCTACGTGCCACCGAAATGCCAGCAACTCTACAGAATTGAATACTTCTGGCTGCAGAACGTGGCACTGCCATCTATGATTAGATAGAAATAAATCCCACTGTTGGATTTTCCTTAGTGTTTTTATGTTTATTGGCAGCGGCAGTCCAGCAAATTGATCACGGAGGAGGAAGAGGAAGAGGAGGAAAAGAGGCGCCATGTCCAATGTTATCCTAGAGAGCATCTTCCTGAAGCGTTCTCAGCAAAAGAAGAAAACGTCTCCGCTGAATTTCAAAAAGCGCCTGTTTCTGTTGACAGAAAGCAAGCTCTCTTACTATGAATATGACTTCGAACGTGGGGTGAGTCCCTAAGAACCGAACAACAGAAAAACAAGATGGGCCCAAAGTCTTCTTTAACCAGATTTATTGAAAGGGGAAAAAAAGGATGAGGTCTCAGAAACATCGACAACTGGATACTCTCACTTTATTACCCATTTCATCCCTAGGTTTGTTAGCGCTGTACAGAGGTCTCTTAATTCTCTTGCTAATATAAGGGTTTGATGACGGGGAATTTGGTTAATCTTTTCCTGAGAATGGAAGAATGTGCAGATCTTCTGAACTAGCCAATATTTTGCAACTGTCATGAAAAGTTCTAGCGCAGTGATGGCGAACCTTTTAGAGACTGAGTGCCCAAAAACCGCCCCTGCTTCCCCGCCCATCCCGCCCCACCCCACCCCTCTGCGCCCCACTCTCTCCACCCTGGCTCCCCCCACAAGGCCACCCACCGCCTCCACAGCCCACCGCAGTAGATCACCCAAGTGGCCCAGCAGCACCGTGGCAGCTACGTCCTCCGCCCGTGCCCCACAGCATCATCTGTGCGTGACGGGGTGCGAGGGCGGAGTCTTGTCCCCACTGCCCGGCTGCCATGTCCTTGGCTGCGCTGCTCCGTGCTGACTGCGCTCAGGGGTGACTCTCCTCCAGGGGGGCTGCTGGTGAGAAGGGGGCCGCAGGGGGAGGCGGGGCTGGGGCGACAGTGCGCGTGCCCACAGAGAGGGCTCTGAGTGCCGCCTCTGGCACCCGTGCCATAGGTTCGCCACCACTGTTCTAGCCCCTTTTAAAAAAAAAAGGGATTTTGGAGGAATACAGTGTCAAGGGCGTGTATTTTGGGGTTCAAGAATGAAGCCATCATCTGGCTGACGAAATAGAGTCGCTGTGCAGAACTGTCTTCTGAGATCCCTCAGGTCACTGTATCTCACCCATCTCTCCAGCTGTACAAATTGTAGATTGAAATTTTAGGTCTCTTTAAAAAAAAAAAAAAAACAACCTTCCAAATATTTTCACTTTCTTCCTCCAGCGCAGAGGAAGTAAGAAGGGCTCGGTGGACCTCGATAAAATCACTTGTGTCGAGATTGTGGTTCCAGAAAACGACCCCCCTCCAGAACGACGGTTATTGGTAAGGAGACATTTCTGCCTCTTGTAAGAATGCTGGTGTCAAAGAGAGGCAGACGTGCGTGGCTGCTGTGCTTCTTGGAACAGGATGCTGTGCCTGGGAGTCTCTGCAAAGGGGCGCTGGGGCTGCCTTCCTGATGCCTCCACTGTGCCAGGAGGTGCCCCCTCCGAGCGGGCATGGAGGCGGAAGGGTGCCTGCGTGGACCGCTGGCCTTTTGACTTTTTCCTGCCCCACCACGGCTGCACACGGAAGCGGCTGTGGGAATTTGCGGGGTGAATTCTCCCACGCTGCTGCGGGAGAAGGACGTGGGGTTGAGACCTCCCCAGCAGCCGAGCCTGGGGGCAGACGGAGGGGCAGATGGCCCCACCCCCTGCATACTTGTCAGAACCTTCACTGGCCTCTGCCCCCTCAGGACTGGGGGCTGCAATTCAGGGACTGAATGTGGTTGGAGCGCGCCAGAGGGGGGAAGAGGCTGTTGACCCCTCCCCAAGTTGCTTCTTTCCAACTTAGGAGATGCTGGGTGGCCTGTTGGTGGAAGCTACCAGTCAAATGATTTTTTTTTTAAAAAAAGCATTCTTTACTTTTTTCTTTTTTCTTTTCTTTTTTTTTTTTGCTGTTATATCCAAACTAGGATCCTTGGCTAGGAATGGAAAGCCAGCCACAAAGAATGGTGTCTAACTGGCTTGGTAGGAGGGAAATTTTACAGTCAGATTATGAAAATTAAGATGTTTTTGCATTTTGCCTGCGGGAGCCAGGAGGAGGGCTCCAACTTTCCCAGATGTGCATTGTGAAAGCATAGAATTAGCTTTGATGTATGTATGTGTTATTTATTTATTTCATTTAATTTAATTTCCAAACTCTTTTGCATGCAGCGAAAAGAAGATGCAAATGAACACGAGCAGATTTCCATTATAGAGCGGTTTCCTTATCCCTTCCAAGTAAGTTTTTTTTCTATCAGCTTTCCGGTCCTCACTGATGAATCACTAACAAGGAAGCTTGGGCTTCTGTGTCAGACTAGGCCAGGGGTAGGCAACCTTGGCTCTTTTATGACTCTTGGACTTCAACTCCCAGAATTCCTGAGCCAGCCATGCTCAAGCAGGAGAACCTATACCATTTCAGACAAGTGAGCACCCTCCTAGGTAAATTTTCTTGACAAAAGATGGGGTATTAAAAAATACATCATTTACACAGAGGACTATCTATACTTTAACCACTGTTCTTTATCTCTGCTTTGTGTGTCCCCAAGGTTGTATACGATGAAGGACCCCTTTATGTCTTCTCTCCCATGGAGGAATTACGGACCCGCTGGATTCACCAACTGAAGAACAGTCAGTGTCCATGTGGTTGAAACATCTGTAATGCTGGGACATCACAGAAGGGCCGTCTCTGAAATGTATCAGGGAGTCCATCAAACGAAGTGCAGACACAGAATTCAGGGTGGTGGTGACCCAAATGCATTTGTAGACCATCAATTTGGGGGGGAAAGTTCTTTTAAAAACTGAACAGTTTTTAAAACTGGCAGTTTTCTAAAGATCTAAGACTTTAATTGAAAGTAGCATTTCAGCACTATCATTGTAGCTGCTTGCTGTTATTTATTTATTTATTTATTTATTAGGCTTTATACCTGTCACTAATTCATAGGTTCAGCTTCTGCATCCCCTAATCTGCTTTTTATGGGTTTTCTAATTGTGATTAAAGCTATGGCTTAATTTTACTGTTGTTGGATGGACGGATAAAAATGTTGGGGAGAAACAAATGAAAGAAAGGTTTATTATGAGATTGATGGTTGTCACCAAGCAAGGGCCTAGGGATAAGACCGGGATAATGGCTGGGTTTGTACAATATGCCAGACTCAACTAAAAAGACAACTGATAGCTTGTGTTGTAGGTAACAGATCTTTTCCAAGTAGGTTATGTGAACTAGGCCATCAGGTTAAAAGCTGTAAAATCATAGATTGATTGGTTTGGGCATCGCGTGATAAGCATACACAGTCCTTGTGTTTTGGTCACTCAGGATTAAAGTAACCTGAGCGGTCTGGACGTCATGAACATAATGTTGAATTGCTAAGGGAATGTTTTGACAAATAAATCGGACCACAATGTCTGAGTTAGTTCTTAGCACGCTCTTCAGAAATCTCCTTTCTTATTCCATCTTGCTGCAGTGACCTACTATAACAGCAACCTGGTGCAGAAGTATCATCCTTGTTTCTGGACAGATGGACAATATCTTTGCTGCTTCCAGACTGCCAAAATGGCCATGGGTTGCAAAGTTCTGGCAGGCAGGAGTCAAAGTAAGGGATCATCTCGCCTTCTCCTTGTCTTCCCTCTGATCTCCGTCTCCATCCTTCCTTCTTCCTGTCATTGTACAGGTAGTCCTCAACGTACAACCGGTTGTTTAGTGCTGTTCAGAGCTAGGACAGCCCCGAAAAAGGGACTCACAACTGGGTCCTCACACTTAGGACAACCCCACAGTCATGTGATCAAAAATTAGGCGCTTAGTAGCTGGCATGCTTTGTGGCATCCCGGAGTCATTTGTTTTGCGACCTTCCTAGTCGGCTTTGACAAATGAAGTCAATGAGGGAAGTTGGATTCACTTAAGGCCCATGTGATTTGCTTAATGACTGTGGCAGAAATGGTTGTAAATTCGGGCGGGATTCACGTAACCACCATCTTGATTAGCAATGGAAATTCTAGTCCCAATTGTGGTCCTAGGCCAGGAGTAGGCAACCTTGACTCTTTTATGACTTGTGGACTTCAACTCCCAGAATTCCTGAGTCAGCCATGCTGAGGGGAAAGGGAGAGGTTTCCAAGCTGAGCCATGCTGGCTCAGGAATTCTGGGAGTTGAAGTCCACGAGTCATAAAAGAGCCAAGGTTGCCTACCACTAGCCTAGGCCAAGGACTACCTGTTATGGTTAGGAACCTATGGACAGAAGGGCAGGATATCAGCCATATCAACCAATCAGTCAGTCAATCAATCAATCAATCAATCAATCACAACTGTCCTCTCCTTGTAGGTTTCAAAAGTGGCCGTTTGCTTCAGAAGCCCGAAAAGCCGTTGCCCCCAACACCAGAAGAGAACCAGGTATCTTCATGGGGCAGGTGTGGGTAGATTTGACACCACCGATGCCTGGGCAGTGCACAGGTCTTGTGACCAGATCCCTGGAAGGCCTCACTATTTTCCTCCTCACTTTCCCAATCTATTCAAAGTTTATGAAGAAGCCTCTGCCGCCCAAGCCATCACCCAGCATTCCTTCTAAGACCAGGAAGGTGATCGCTCTCTACGATTACACCCCCATGAACGACCAAGACTTGCAGCTGCAGAAAGGGGAAGAATATCTCATCCTGGAGGAGAGCAGTGAATCTTGGTGGCGGGCACAAGACCAGAATGGGTAGGAGATGGGAGGACATCAATGTTTGGATGGGCACAGTGTTTTGGGGTGGGTTTCATTGTGGTTTGGTTTATGGCCTAGATCAGGGGTAGGCAACCTTGGCTCTTTCATGACTCGTGGACTTCAACTCCCAGAATTCCTGAGCCAGCATGGCTCAGCTTGGAAACCTCTCCCTTTCCCTCAGCATGGCTGGCTCAGGAATTCTGGGAGTTGAAGTCCACAAGTCATAAAAGAGCCAAACTCTAGTGGTCTTACCATCCTTCTTCCTCTTCCCCTTCTGCTTCCTTCCATCCAGGAAACAAGGTTACATTCCCTCCAATTATATCACCGAAACAAGAGATTCTCTGGAGATATTTGAGTGAGTATCCTCTGATCCATGGGCTGGATCCATTCGTGGAGATGCCATATATACTCTAACACAGGGGTCTTCAAACTTGGCCCTTTGATGACTTGTGGACTTCAACTCCCAGAATTCCTCAGCCAGGCACTGCCTGGCTGAGGAATTCTGGGAGTTGAAGTCCACAAGTCATCAAAGGGCCAAGTTTGAAGACCCCTGCTCTAACACATCTAATGGAGTCCAGACTGCAGAAGACTGATGGACTGCATTATTCAGTCCAAGTGCGGGATTTTCTGCCCCATTGTCAGTTTTCTTCCTCTGGATGTCCCACGCCTCCTCCATCATTTGAGATGTAGTTTGTCCATCTGGATTCCAGAGAAAAAAGATTAGCTAGTAATAAGATGGGTAGGAAGGGAGAAACTGGGGCATGCTGAAAAAAACACACAGATGCTCAACATTGTTTGTTTGTTTTCCATATTTGCATCAAACAGAAGGGCAGCTTTGGGAATGAACCACTAACAAATTCTGGAGAATTTCATTTTCATTCTTTATTCCAAATAAATTCCTCCCACAAGGCTCTTCATCCTAGGTGTTCTTTCTTGACAATTATCTTGTCGTGTTTTAGGTGGTATTTAAAAAACATAACCAGAAGACAAGCAGAAGAATTGCTGAAGAAAGAGGTATTGTCTTGTGTGTGTCTGTCTGCTTGTTTCCCCTCCTCTTCCTTTCATTGCAAGGAATTGGGGATTCTCAACCCTTGCAAGTTAAAGATGTGTGGACTTCAACTCCCAGAATTCCCCAGCCAGCTAGGGGGTGGTGGAATTTATTGACTGGGGAATTCTGGGAGTTGAAGTCCGCACATCTTTAATTTGCCAAGTTTGAGAAACACTGCAAGGAATTTAAGTAAGGATTTGGGGGGATCATCACCTGTGACTTTGAATACACTGAGTATGTTCTGTACCCCTTTTATTTATTTATTTAGCTTCTGGATCCAATCAGGAGTAGCTAATGACCAGGAACTAGTTTGTTTAGTATATCATTTCATTTTAAGATCGTAAAATTATATGCCAAGAATTTCTCTTTGTTTGTGAAGGGTGCAATAGATTTAGATGTAGAGTTCAGGCAAAACTATTTAGTTTTACTGCCGTACTACTAACTACTACTACTAGGGCTAGTAATCCGGCATTCTAGGTCAGTGTAGGTTTATCGAAGGGCTGACTCACAAGGGCAGACTCACAACAGGGGTTTGTGAAGAGCCCCAGGTCTTGTCTTACACTGAAAAATTAATCATTCTCCAATCCTCACAACTGAAAAATTTAGGCATTTTTCTATTTCAGAGCAAAGATGGCGGTTTCATTGTTCGAGATTCTGTCAGCAAGACAGGCAAATACACCGTCTCTGTGTTTGCTAAGTCCTCCGGGTGAGTGTGACCTGCTGATAAAATAAATAAATGTGAATCCCACACCAGGCTAGTCCTCAAGAAGAGCTCCGTATCAGGAGAAACATCATTATGGTTGACAGTGGGATAGGCTGTTTGAAGGTCCATAGTTTGTGTATAGAAAAGTTGACCAAATAATAATTTAAAAAAATACAGCAATATCACGATCATCCAGAAGATGGCTTTTAGTTCATCTGGTTTAAGCTTATCAATTATGCAGGGCAAAGGCATAATAATTGATTCTTTTTTTTTATTATTAAAAGTTTTATAACATTTACAAAATAAACCCCCTTCCCCCCCCAACCCCCCCCACTTCCCAGAGCTGTTCACGGTTACAAATATATTAATCATAATCTAAATAACATTATCCAACTAATTATGTAACCAAATCTATAACACACTTTAACTCCCTTTTAAAATAAATTTAGATAATTTAAAATTAAACACAATAATAACAAATAATCAACTTAATTATTAAACAAAATTACTACTCAAAATAATAATAATATCAATATAATAAAATATAATAACAAATATAAAAAATATAATAAAATATTCACAATAACAATACTGTAAAATTTACTCAAACACCAAATGGAACTTTTCAGTCCCATATTTATTCTGAATATAATCTATCCATCTTCTTAATCAGTTATAGGTTCCCAATGAATGTAATGACATAAAGTAATTTTGTTTCTTATAGATCCTCCGTTGTATCATTAATCGTTAAGAATTTTAAATATCAGAGAGGGGAGAGATTCCTGCACTGAACCATGGGGTAGACTAGATGACCTTGGCATCTTTCAACTTTCTCACTCTTTCTTTCGAAACTGGGGTGGACCTTCTCTCTCTTTTCCTACAGCAATGGCTCCTTCCTGCTCTTGTCCCAATTTCTGATGTCGCCGTCATCTTCGCTTATCTTGGAATCTCTTTTTAACGCCCCAATTGCTTCCTTAGGGATCCTCAGGGCACCATCCGCCATTATGTGGTGTGCCCGACAGCGCAGAACAAATATTTCCTGGCCGAGAAGCACCACTTCAACACTATCCCGGAGCTCATCAACTATCACCAACACAACTCCGCAGGTGAGGGTGAGCACCTGTTCCCAGAGGTATCCGCCATCGATTGCTTAGCTCAGGGGTCCTCAACCATGGCAAAGCTGGCTGAGGAATTCTGGGAGTTGAAGTCCACAAGTCTTAAAGTTGCCAAGGTTGAGGACCCCAGACTTAGCTGGTACCTTTTGAGTCTGGGAAACTGCACCCCTTCTTCCTCATTTAATTTCCCACAATGCCCCAAAAGCATGCCATGTTGGGAGCTATGGAGCATTGTGGGAACTGGCCTGAGGTCACCCAGTTGATGCCATGCCCAAGACAGAACTAGAACTCCTAGCCTCCTGGTTTCTAGCCCAGCACCATCAGTTACTACACCAAACGGACTCTTCTTATGTTGAGTAGCCTCCTAATCACATCTTTATTTTTATCCACCAGGACTTATCTCCCGATTGAAGTATCCAGTGTCAGCACAACAAAAATCTGCTCCTTCCACTGCAGGTCTTGGATATGGTAATACCTGAATGTTCTTAACTGCTTGATGCCTATGGTTGGGTTCACTAAATTAGATCTATGAACAATTTAGCAGTTGTTAAGCTTCCCTTCCCTCCCTCCCTCCCTCCCTCCCTCCTTCTTTCCTTCCTTCCTTCCTTCCTTCCTTGTCATTTAGTGGGCCGTGCTCTCTCTCATAATTCATGTTGGGTGTTTTGTGCCGACCCAGTTAATTCATTAGCCAATATTAAACCAGTTAATTCAAAAGCACATTGAGTGAACATAGCCTGTAGATTATATCTGATGTGGGGTTGTGACTCAGAAGCCACCCGTTCACTTCCCACGGGGCCCTTCAGTGAGGTTATGTTAGATGCTCTGGGACATTGTGGGAAGTTGTCCATATGGTCTTCTCCTCCTCCAGATGGCTGTCCGTTTTCACCCACCCGCTGCTTTGTGTCATTCCTAGGGGCATGGGAGATTGATCTGAAAGAACTGACATTTCTGAAAGAGCTGGGGACAGGCCAGTTTGGGGTGGTGAAACATGGCAAGTGGCGAGGTCAGTACGACGTGGCCATCAAGATGATCAAGGAAGGCTGCATGTCAGAAGATGCGTTTATCGATGAAGCCAAAGTCATGATGTGAGCCGACACCTCCTTTTTCTTCTTCTTTCTGTCAAGACTTTCCTTTAGATCGGGGTGAGGAACCTTCCAGATGTTGCTGGACTACTACTCCCAGCATCCTTCACCTCTTGCTATGCTTGCTGGGATTCCGTTCCAATTCTGAAAGTCTCTCTGGACTTTCAGATGGCCCAATGTGGTCCATCACAAATGTTGGAGGCTCAGACTTATTTCAAACCCAGTTCTTGGAGCCCTATCATTAAAGGAAGGGTATTTGGGTAGATACTTCTCAACTATTAACCTGAGGACAATTCTCTTCCGTCTGTAGCTAGAAGGAAGGCTTTCCTTTGCAATGGATTTGAATGTTCCTCTTGGACATTTTTCCTTCCTGCCACTTATACGAAAAGCCAGTTTAGAGTGGAGTACTGGGTTTGCACACCACGCCAACTAAGGTTGGTTTAATCAGGATTTATTCCTTAAATAAACTACAGTTGGCGCTTAGTAGAACATGAAGATTTTCTGAATGACCTCAGCTGAGTTCCTGACACATTTGAACAAAGGATACGATGGCTTTGATCTGCTCCTTAATTTGTCTGCCACTTGAGGGGAAAAACAGTGATGAAGGACAAAGGTGAATTTCTAAACCAATGAGGCTCTTGCTTTCCTTTTCAGGAATCTTTCCCATGCCAACCTGGTGCAACTCTTTGGGGTTTGCACTAAGGAAAGACCAATCTTGATTATCACAGAGTACCTGTGCAAAGGTTGCCTCTTGGCCTACCTGCGGGATACTCGGCGGTCCTTCCAGGTCACCGAGCTTTTGGATATGTGCAAGGATGTTTGTGAGGCTATGGAATATCTGGAATCCAAACAGTTTCTACACAGAGACTTGGTAGGTGACGCACTGCTTAACTCAACCAAGGGAGAAAACTCAAGTCAATGTTTTGGGTTGTACTACCACAGTGACTTTGTCATGGATGAGGCATGGATGACTTGTGGCCTTCCAGATGTTGCTGAAGGATACATCTCTGTAACCTTAGCCAACGTATCTACCGGTACAGGATTCTGGAGATGTCTGACAATACTGGAAAACTGTAGCTTCTTTCCCCCAACTAGGATAATGATGGAGATTGGAGGTTCTACAACTGGGTGGAAGTGCCATCGGGGATGCTCAAACTGGTGTAATGATGGAGGTTCTAGAACAGGGGTGAAAGTGCCATCAGGGGCCCCAAATTCACACCATGCAGGGACAGGATAGTTTACCTGCCTTGGTGGTTTCAGGGAGTTTATCTCTCCCTGGCACTGTATGAACCTCTTCCTTCTGTCCAAAGCAAATTTATTTGTTTAAAACATTTACAGTCAATTCTCTATCCAAAGAATCTTGTTAACAAGCTTAGGCATCCTGAGTCTCAGAAGATAGTAATTTTAAGTTTATGCTGGTTCATGGCTGTAACAAACACTGATATGCTTCATTAGGGTATCCCACTACTTATATAATGCTTCCTCTCTTTGTCTGTCTTCCACAGGCTGCTCGCAACTGCTTGGTCAATGAACAAGGAGTGGTCAAAGTCTCTGATTTTGGCCTTTCCAGGTTAGTTTTGACGTCAACGTGTCTGGCAGGTTGGGATAGTCGCCAAGGTGGAGAAATGGTCTATTTTCTTCAATGGACTGTGAGCCACTTGGGTTATTGGTTTGAGGCGTACACCGTCAAGTTGCCCAACCCAACCTTCTGCTCGCAGGTATGTCTTGGATGATGACTACATCAGCTCCGTGGGATCCAAATTTCCAGTCCGGTGGTCTCCTCCAGAGGTTCTTCTCTATAGCAAGTTCAGCAGCAAATCAGATGTCTGGGCTTTTGGTGAGCAGACTATGTGGGCATGGAAGCTGAGATATCAGGGGGAGAATCATCTGGGCTGATGAATGCAATGACAAAGTATTCTTAGTCACAGTCTCTGCCAATGATAGAGCTCCTAGGCCTCAGAGCAGATGTGGGGAAAAAGGTGTCCCAAAGCCATTGTTTGGCACCCAAATCTAAGAGATTAGAACCCAGGAACTTTGTCCCTCCAGTTGTAGCTACATCAGAAAAAACATCTCTCAACATAATCTCTCGCGTAACATAATCCCACCTGATACTACAGGTAGCCCTGGACTTACGACCACAATTGAGCCCAAAATTTCCGCTGCTAAGAAAGACCGTTGCCAAGTTAGTTTTGCCCCATTTTACGACCTTCCTTGCCACAGCTGTTAAGTGAGTCACTACAGTTGTTAAGTACGTAACACGGACGTTAAGTGAATCCGGCTTCCCCATTGACTTTGGTTGTCAGAAGGTCACCAGAGGGAATTACGTGACTCTGGGACATGGCGACCGTCGTAAATATGAACCAGTTGCCGAGCTTCTGAATTTTGATCACGTGACCATGGGGATGCTGCAACGGCCGTAAATGTGAAAAATGGTCATCAGTCACTTTTTTCACTGCCATCGTAACTCAGAACGGCCACTAAATGTACTGTTGTAAGTAGAGGACTACCTGTATAGTCTTTGTCCCGTACACACAACGGCATTTTGGGGAAGAGAGCAAAGACTTTGTGGTCCAGAGGCCAGGAATCTTATACGAAGAACTGAGTGGCATTTCAGAGGAGGCTAAAACTAGCGGTGGCGCTTTGACCTCATGTTCTGGATGCTTTCCCCACGCACAGGAGTTCTGATGTGGGAGGTCCACGCTTTGGGGAAGATGCCCTACGAGAGGTTCACCAACAGCGAGACCACCGATCACGTCATCAAAGGGCTGCGTCTCTACCGCCCCCAGCTGGCCTCCGACAGGATCTACGCCATCATGTACAGCTGTTGGCATGAGGTAAGTTTTCTTGATACCTTACTACCGTTGGCGGCATCCCTCCCGATGGTCACACGATCAGAATTGGGACACTTGGCAACTGGCATGTATTTGCGACGGTTGCAGTGTCCTAGGGCCATGTGATCACCTTTTGCGACCTTTTGATGAGCAAAATCATCAGAGAAGCCAGATTCACTTAACAAAAGTGTTGCTAACTTAACAACTGCAGCAAGTCAAGGACTATCTGCACTTTTTTGATAACCCCTTCACAACTTCTCTTTCTTTTTAGACAGTCCAGGGACCTTATCTTTTAAGCACTTCAGCAAAAGATCCCTTGTGTATCTCTTTTAGAAACTATTTTATATAAGCAATTTCCTCTCTCTTTTTTTCTTCTTCCAGAAAGCAGACGAGCGTCCAAGTTTTCAAGTACTCCTTGGACACATTATGGATTTAGCGAATGAAGAAGTCTGATTCCCGTCGGTTACCCAATATACATTTTTCTCTGTGAATTGCTGCCACCTTCCTCTGTTTGCTGAAGAATTGTTGAATGGACACGGTGAAAACAAAATCAGCAAGACGGCAATCACAAGCAAAGTACTTTGATCGACTGAGAACTGTCTTCAAGTCGCCTTTAACTCGCCTTTGTGTTTCTCTTTGAAGCCAGCCAAAACTAACAAGCCAGCAAGTGCTGTTTAGGTGTTTCCCTATCCAGCAGGATAAGGTACAGCTTGTCCCCACTGTTGAGCTGAAGTGTTATCATCCCATTCCCAAGTCAGCAGAAAAGAAAACCAGCATGACATTTTCTGTCCTCATTTATGATCCCTGACTCACCTCAGTTTCTGTCTTCCCTTCATGATCACTCCCAGATTTTGCCCACCTGGAGATTGACCTTGGATTACAGGAAAAATCCTGCTTAGTATTGGATGGGATCGGTGGTGGGATTCAGCCAGAACCGGTAGCTAATTTTTTGTTGCCCAGGCCCAGAATGGACTTCCGGAAGCGGCATCCACACAGAGAACCGGTTGTTCACATATTTGAATCCCACCGCTGGATGGGATGAAGGCGCCTGATTGAAATGGAGCAGAAAAGGCAGAAAACTATGATTACAGGCAAATGGCAGAGGCTTTTGGTGTAAGAATGTCTAGCTCTTCCAAGATCACTTGGAACAAGATAATGGGATTTAATAAACTTCTGGGAATGCAGCTACTCCAAAATGTATTGGGTGGTGATGGATAAAAATGGAAAGAAGCGATAGGAAAATGAATTGCATTTCATAAAGAGAAAATAAACTAATTTGCGTCACCATCTTTCTTGGATCCCAGTGGACTTGTTCACTGGTGCGTTGCTCAACACGAAGATCTGCTTTTAATTTCTGTTTACTGTAGAAGGTATCTGACTAATCTTATATCTTCTTCCCCTATAAATCACATTCAAAGTCCTGAAAAATTCTTCTGCTTGCAAAAACTGAAGCCGGGAGTCTTACTGTATGTAGAACGCTTCAGATAAACTTTGAGAAAACTTTCCCTTCTTTTAGAAAACACAAAATATAAGAGAAAGGATAGAGCAGTGCAACGCACGAGACTTCCCATCAAATTAGCCATACCTGAAGTCTGTTTCGCTTTGAAGCAGTGAGAAAATAGAATGGTGAAGTAATAAACAGGAAGGGGAAAAAAAAAGAGTCTGCCACAGGATGTATTGTAGACCAAACTGCTTTTTTGCAAGAGATACTATGCAGATTTTGAAAACAAGCTCACAAAATTTAGGCTTCCAGTTATAATGGGTACTTATTAGTGTTTTTTTCCCCTCCACCTCTTCTATCCATTTGCTCTCTCGTTTGCATGGAAATCCTGTTCATTTAGAGCTGATATGTGAGCTATACACCTGAATGGTGCACAGAGGCACTGTATGTGTAGAGAATATGTATATAACATGCAAAGTCAAGGCTGAGTTCCTAAAATAGCCTTACAATGCAGTCTATTTATTACTGCACACTGCAAAGGAAGGAGAGCAAGCCAGAGACTGTGACTTAAGCAACTCTGTAACTCTTAACATGATTAGATGGAACATGTGTGTGCTTGTATGTTCATCCTCAAATAAAAGGGTTCAAGATTACACTGCGCAAGGTTGAATTTGAAAAAAAGTATCTATTTCAATCTATATCTTATCTATCTGTCTGTCTGTCTGTCTGTCTATCTATCTATCTATCTATCTATCTATCTATCTATCTATCTATCTATATCTTATCTATCTATTTCAATTTATATCTGTCTGTCTGTCTGTCTGTCTGTCTATCTATCTATCTATCTATATCTTATCTATCTATTTCAATTTATATCTGTCTGTCGTCTGTCTGTCTGTCTGTCTATCTATCTATCTATCTAGTGCTTTTTTTCTAAAAAAAAAAAAAGGTGCCAGAACTCACACATGTCATACAACCTGCCTTGCCTACTCTACAAGGTTCCATCCAAAAAAGGTGGTGGAACTCCGTTCTGCACGTTCTATGACAAAAAAGCCCTGTATCTATCTATCTATCTATCTATCTATCTATCTATCTATCTATCTATCTATCTATCTATCTGTCTGTCTGTCTGTCTGTCTGTCTGTCTGTCTGTCTACGTACACACACATATATATACATATACACACAAACATACATACACACATACACATACATATACATATACATACATATACGTACACGTACATATACATACACATACATCATATGCATATACAGTAAGAAAATGACAACACTAATTACATTGGGTTGGCACTCATCCAGTGAGTACCACTCCAACACTGCAGAGGGCGCCCCAACGCCTGATTTCCTCTCTTTTTTTTTCTCTCTCTCCCTCCCGGCCCTTCTGCCGCTTTCCTCTCCGATGCGCCGCCGGAAAACGGAAGCGCGCGTGCGCTCGCGGGCCGGGGGAAAAAAAAAAGCGGGCGCCGGGCGCGCATGCGCGGAGGCCCGGCCCGGGGAGGCACGTGAAGGTCGCCGCCCGCCCGCTCCATTCAGCCGCCGGCTCTGCCCTCCAGCCGGGCCCGGCATGGACGCGTCGTCCGTCGCGGGGGACCTGGGCGCGGCCGTCAACGACCCGCAGCTGCAGCACTTCATCGAGGTGGAGACGCAGAAGCAGCGCTTCCAGCAGCTCGTGCACCAGATGACGGAGCTGTGCTGGGTAGGGCGGGCAGAGGCAGGGCCGGTGGAACTCCCTGCCACTAGAGGCGGAGGGGAGGTGGGAAGAGGGGGGGGGGAGAGGAGAAGGACCCGGTAGCACGGGTAGGTCCTCAACTTACGGCCGGAAGGGAGCCCGGGATTTATGTGGCTAAGCGAGACATTTGCTAAGCCAGCGTTTTGCCCCATTTCTGCAGTGGTTGAACTGGCCACGCGGGTCCCCCGTCGGGTTTGCTTTGTCGGGGGTGGGGGGTGGGGAGGCGCAAAAGGGGATCACGTGACTCCCCCGGGAATTCTGCAGCCGTCATCAACGGGAGTCAGTTGTCCGAGCGTCGTCCGAATGCAAATCGCGCGGCCGTCGGGAGGCTGCAACGGTCTGAAGTATGAAAAGCGGTCCTAAGTCCCTGTTTTCCGTGCTGTTGTAACTTCGGTCACTAAACGAACTGCTGTGAGTCGGGGACTGCCTGTAGCCCCCCCCCCGGGACACACTATGCCGGTTGATTTATCCCAGTGTTTCTCAACCTTGACCATTTTAAGGCATGTGGACTTCAACTCCCAGAATTCCACAGCCAGCATTGCTGGCTGTGGAATTCTGGGAGTTGAAGTCCACATGCCTTAAAATGGTCAAGGTTGAGAAACACTGATTTATCCCCATTGGGTCAGGGAATGTAAGAATTTTACTTATTTTCCTACCCCTGAGGCTCGCTGGCCGCTCAGGGGTAAAGCCACCCGGTGTGGGGTGCACCAGTTTTGAGCAGGCTGGAAAAGAGCCTCCAGGATCAGGAGCAGTCTCCTAGGAGTGGAGATTTAGCTGCTGCTGCTGCTGGCAATAATAGGGTGCTTCTATGGGGAGAAGAAGAGCTCTTGGCTGCGTGCCAAGCAGGTGGGCGGCATTTAGGAACCAGGAAGCTGCATTCTTTTGTGTTTTACCTTGGGAGCTCCTGGGGTGCCAGTATGTACGGCAGTGGTTCTCAACCTTTTAAATGCCGTGACCCCCAACCGGTCGTAAGTTGAGGACTAAACCGGTTGTAAGTCGAGGACTAAACCGGTCGTAAGTCGAGGACTACCCAACCGGTCGTAAGTCGAGGACTTTCCCTGCCCGGGAGCGCTGCGCATGCGTGGTTCCGCCCCCTGCGCCGGCCGAGGCGTAGCTGGCAAGCGGCAGAGACGGAGCAGGCCGACCACCAGCTGGCCCAGCTCAAGGGAGGTAAGGCACCCGCCGGAAAAGGGGAAAAAAATGGCGGACAGCCTTGCTTGAAATGGTCGATCGACCCCAAATGGGGTCGCGACCCATAGGTTGAGAACCTCTGATGTACGGCATTGCCATGTGGCCTTTATGTGTTGCGTGTCTATCCGTGTTTTTCTTTGAAAGGCTCAAAGCAGCTTAGGTGGGCTTTTTCCCTAATTGGATTCACGCCACAGCCCTGTTAAGACCGCTTAGGCTGAGCCAGGGTTCATCCCACGAATTGTGTGATCCAGTGGCTCTCCCTTGGATCTGGGTCTGCCACTGCGCCACACTTTTGCAAGCACCGAGCGTCACGTCAGGGTCACCGATTCCACTACAGGTAGTCCTCGACTTACACTTGTGCCCAACATTTCTGTGGTTGAGCGAGACGTTTGTTAAGTGAGCTTTGCCCCATTTTACGGCCTCTCTTGTTGTTAAGTGAATCGCTGCAGTTCTTAAATTAGTCACACCGTTGTTAAATGAACCCGGCTTCCCCCATTGGTTTTGCATGTCAGAAAGTCACAAAAAGGGATCGCGTGATCCCCTGGGACACTGCAAAACGACATAAATAGGAGCCAATTGGCAAGCTTCTGAATTGTGATCATGCGATGGGGAGGCTGCAACGGTCGTAAGTGTGAAAAAAAGGCATTAGCCACTTTTTCCAGTGGCTAAGTTCCGTTGTAACTTGGAACGGTCACTAAGAGAACTGTTGTAAGTCGAGGACTGCCTGTATTGAAATCCGCTCTTCCCATTTCTGTTTCTCTAAGCGAAATAAGGGAACTTTCATGTAACAATGTCTTCCCATCCGCTTGTTTGCCAGATTGATGCCTGGCTTCTGCACTTAAGCTGGCTAAGCACGTCGTCTTTGTATAAAAGCAACATTTGTGACAAGTGTTACCAATTGTGCACGTTTAAGTTTTTTTGTGTGTGTGTGGGTGGAAACGAGCCTGAGCAAGAAGGTTGGCAGCAATTCGGATAGGCTGAAAAACAAAGTCAGACACGTCAGGTTTATATCTTTGCTAATCGTAGGCCTGAAGCCTGACACCGCGGGTCCCCTCGCTGTTGAATGATTTCTCTTTTGTGACCCTCAAAACAGGAGAAATGCATGGATAAGCCTGGCCCCAAGCTGGACAGCCGAGCCGAGACCTGCTTTGTGAACTGTGTCGAGCGTTTCATTGACACCAGTCAGTTTATTCTGAATCGGCTGGAGCAGACGCAAAAGTCCAAGTCGCCCTTCTCCGAAAGTCTCTCCGACTGAGCGGAAGTGTTCACTGGTGCTGCTTTCTTCATTTCAAAAGGAGAACACTGTTCCGAATGGAAGAGGAGGAGAAAGAACCGAAGAAAGGATTCCTAATGATGATAGGCTGTGAGGGAGCTTGGCCCCCACCTCTGAGATGGACATCAGGGCTTCCCGGTCACCTAGTTTAGTTCTGGTGTTAAATGCCCACTGGGTGAACATTAATAACCATGCAACGTCACACATCTGCTATTTAACCCGGACTTCTGCTGCCCTAGGTTTTAATTTTTCCCCCCCTCTGGATAATGGGAGCTTCATAACAGAATGTTGCCTTGACTATCTTATACCCAGCAGTAAGGTGGGAAAAGTACACCCCCTTGAAACTTGAAAATGTTCTTTTTGAGATAAGGGGACTGGGAGGCCTCAGATACTAACGCAGCTCCAGGGGAAAGTCGGGGTGGAAACGTGCCTTGAAAAGGGCCCTGTGCTTAGGCACTGCTCTTTCAAACGATCCAACTGTCACTTGTTTAAACTTGCAACCGGGTTAACCGTTGTAAACCGCGGGTGGGTGGGGTGGATCTTGCAGTTGGGCAGAGGAGCGCGGGATTAGATTGTAAAAGGGCGCCAGAAGAGATCCGTTGTCTTTGATGAGGTGTTTTTTTTTCAAACCTACCTCAGCACCGTAGAAAGAAACACCCCAGACGTGTGGCTGTTGAAGGGGGTTGCCCTGCCCTGCCACTGTGGTCCAGTATGTCTCTTGCCAAGTACAAAAATCAGTCTCGACTTTCTACATTGAATTCCTTGCCTCCTGATCAGTGGAATAAACATCAATTGGATGCATTTTAAGCTTTTGAGTTGGTGGTCGTTCCTTCTAGCTCGCCAAAGTTCTGAGGTAAAGGAGATGCTTTTAGTAGCAGTTGCACGTTCCAGACTAACCTTCCTGAAAGTGTAGCTCTCAAAGTGAGTGAGATTAAATTCTGAGCATTATTCTGAGTACTAGTCCTGCTTCTTTACAGAACTAGAACGCTGTGCTCTTCAGTGTTCTCATTTTACACCTTGCAATTGACCTATTGCTGGACAGTTCATAAAGCAGGCAGTCCTTCTTACCGAAAGCCATGAAATGCTGATTTAATTGAGAATAATAGCCAAGTCATTTGATGTGAGGCAAAGAATTTGGGGGGACATGAATGTAAATATGAGAAGTTTCTGTCAAGTTTCTGCTATAAATTATTTCGCTAGCTTAGAAATCTGTGTAACTGTTCCAGATTCCAACACAGATTGCTGTGTTGATCTGCCAGTGACTGATCAGTGTTGGTCTGCCAGTGACTGATCAGGAGAAAAACAGGCTGAAAGAAAAAATTTCTCTTGCAACTGAGTCTTCGGTATCCTAAAGCCTGACACGTTTTTTTTCTGGGGCAATCTCTACAATTTTATGAATTACCTCCACCAAGCTTGTTAATTATGACTTTGTTTTCTCTTTTCCATGCTTTTATCTACGGCCGTCGGAGTGAAAACCAGAAAATTATGGTGGAAAAAAAGTCCCACTTTCCAGCAATTCATAAATATAACCACTACATTTACTAACCTTCCACGTTTTTTAGAAGGGAGATCTTGGTATATCAGAATGGGGTTTTTTTCCCACTTGGAACGTGGTTAACTCCTTGGCTGATGGATAGAAGATCCTCAGTCTTTGCCTGGCTATCCTATTGTAGCTCCCAAAATTGACATTATAGTATAAAGATATATGAAAGCTGTTTTCTAGGAACAACTAAGAAAACTTTCTAAGGTAAATGATGTGATGGAACTGAGCTAAGTAAAAATGGAAAAAGCTGGAAACTTAAGAGGCAGCCTTTATTATCACAGATCAGAAATTTAGCACTGGTATCCCTCACTTTTGGACTAGGTATCACTTTCTAGTCTGAAGTCCTAAATCAGTGGTGGCGAACCTATGGCACGGGTGCCAGAGGCGGCACTCAGAGCCGTCTCTGTGGGCACGCGTGCTGTCACCCCAGTCCTAGGCCTTCAGCTGGGTTTTATAAAACCTTTTTGCTTTAGGCCTCCGCCGCCATGTGCAAAAAAAAAAAAGGTTCAATCAGTCAATTTCAACTTCTCGCGGGAAAAAAAAAGATCTTGCAAAGTTGGAATTGATTGATTGAACTTTTTAGTCCGACCCAGTCTGCCGTTACCACCGCAGCCACGCCCACCCAATGGGCCACACCCACCCAATTGGCCACACCCAGCCAATGGGCCACACCCACCCGGCACCCGGTGATGCATAAGTGGGTTTTGGGTTGCAGTTTGGGCACTCGGTCTCTAAAAGGTTCACCATCACTGCCCTAAATCCTTGGTTTTCCTAAATCCTCAAATGAACGTTAAGTCTACACAGGACATTTTACTACACTTAAATAGCCAATCACCCACCCTTCATTTGGTGCCCCTGCTAGAAAGGAAAACAGCAGGGTGATCTAGGAATTTACTCCAATGATAGATTGCCAACACAAAAAACATGGCAGCGCAAGTCCATTTCTAGGCATGAAATAAGGGACTGACTTTTTTTTTTAAGGAAAAAGAAATCAAGCAGCCAAAGACACACATTTGAAAAATATTCTTTAATGCTTTTAAAAGTCACCTTTTACATTTGCAACCTATTTTGCAAATTACTTCATAGTCGTATAAAGAAAATACTTATTTTAAATAATTTGTAAAGCAGAAGGCAAAGCCTAAATGGCTTTGTACATTCAAAAAGCAGCAGAATACTGTAGTGGACCCAGAGAGCAGCTGCTCCCATAAAAACAACCTGCATTTTCAGGGTTAAAAAAAAGTTTGTGAACGCATTTCAATTGGCCTGTTGCTTGTTTTTCCACCTGAGCTGGATCATCTGCTCCTATTAATTGACCTAAATTGCATCTTTTACGGTTACTCTGCCTTCAAGGTCAACAGCCATTCCATTTTCTTTTCCTCTGCGTTCTTCCAGTTCATGCCTGTCACTCAGAAGGAGGAAAAAAAAATCTTTTGCCTTTTCCATGTTCCTCTCTATCCTGAGATCAGCCTCTTGCTCCTATCCATCATCTCTCTTCTTCCATTCCCAGGATGTGACAAGATGGCTTGCCCTTTCTTGGACTCATGGAGATATTCCTATTTAAAAAAAACAAAACAATACACCCCACCCATACCACATCACCCAACCACTTTTGATATGTATGCTTTCAACATACCTATCGTGAGGTCTCGAGGCTTATCAATATGCTCCCAAGTTCCATCCAAGAACGCAAAGCTTGCCCTTTTCTGGAAGTTGGAAAGAAGAAACTACACCCAACCTCGGAGGCACTGCTTGATTATCAGCTTGAATCTGACAGCGCTCCAGTGGATTCATGTATGCTCCCAGTAAAAACACTATTTTTTTAAGAAAACGGCCCCCAAATAATTCCGCACTGCCTGGAAAAAGTTCTTTGGTGAAAAGTAATAAGAGCTTTAGAAACTTTCAAAAGAGGCCTAATGGTTTTAAATCAACCTTAGCTTTCATAAACTGTGTCTTGCCCCTCCGGTTTCTCTGTCCTTCCTTTCTCTAAGTCCTCTGGATCCAGAAGAGGCTGGTGAAGATATGACCCTTCTTTGTCTCCCTCTCTCCGTGAAGCCGCAGGGAGATCTTTCTGCTTGCGCCTCAGGAAGAGAGGCAGCAGGTCCACGGTGAAAGGCATGTCTCTGAAAGCGTGGAGAAGGAAGATGCCCAGGACGATGGTAAGGAAGCCACTGATGGTCCCGACAATGTTCATGAGGACCAGATGCTGCCACTCTTTGAACAGAATCGCAGAGCAGGTCATAACGGCTGTGGTGAAGAGGACATAATAGATGGGGGTGACCACAGACGTGTTGAAGATGTCCAAGGCTTTGTTGAGGTAGTTGATCTGGATGCTGACACAGACCACCAAACTAATGAAAAGCATCCAGCCCAGCGGTTCTTTCCAGGCGGCCTTCCCAGCGAACAGCTCTTTCAGGGCAATGCCCAAGCCTTTGACGCAAGCGACGGAGAGCGAGCCAATGGACGAGCAGATCAGGATGTACACCAAGACGTTCCTCTGCCCGTAGCGAGGTCCAGCCACAAAGATGAGGAGAACCGAGCTCGTCACCATGCAGGTGGCGAACACGATAAATCCTGGAGGAGGAAGGAAAAAATAAAAGATGTTTTGTGTCTCAGACTCGGCTGTTCTGGTCGAAGTTCGAACCGCACTGAAAAGAAGTGACTTATGACTGTTTTTCACACTGATGACTGCTGCAGCATCCTCAAAAGTCTGATCAAAATACAGACTTTTGGCAACCGGCATGCATTTATGACAGTTGCAGCGCCCAGGATCATGCGATTCCCTTTTGTGACTATCTGACAAGCAAAGTCAATGGGGAAGCCAGATTCACTTAACCATGTTACTAGAATAGAGTAGAATAGAGCTGGAAGGGACCCTGGAGGTCTTCTAGTCCAGCCCCCTGCTCAAGCAGGAGAACTTACACCATCTCGGACAGGTGATTGTCTAGTCTTTTCTTAAAAATCTCCAGTGATGGAGCGCCCATGATTTCTGGAGGCAAGCTGTTCCACTGGTTGATTGTCCTCACTGTTAGGAAGTTTCTCCTTAATTCCAGGTTGCTTCTCTCTTTGGTCAGTTTCCAACCATTGTTTCTCTTCCTTCCCTCTGGTGCTCTGGTGAACAACCTGATCCCCTCTTCTTTGTGGCAGCCCCTCAACTGGAACACTGCTGTCATGTCTCCCCTAATTATTAGCTTAATAATTGCAGTGATTCCCTTAACAACAGTGGCAAGAAAAGTCATAAAATGGTGCCAACATTCTGCTTTGCAACAGAAATGTTGGGCTCAATTGTGGCTGTAAGTCGAGGACCACCTGCATAGGGACCATGTTTTCTGTACCTGGATCCTTCAGTTTCTCCAACATTGAGTCCAGACTGGCCACCGTTTCCTCTTGAGGAGCATGGATCACTATCACGGTAGATCCCAAAATGCAAAGGAGGCACCCGATCTTTCCATGGATGTTCAGCTGCTCGTTCAGAAAATAGGAGGCTAAAACCGCACTTTAGAACAAAAGAAAGAAAAACTTCTCAAGACTAGTTTGCTCGAAGAGAACACACCAGCTACAGAGACGGTCCTGGAAAGTTAAGGAATCGTCTCTTTAAGGTGTGTCTGACAACATGAATTTGAGCGCTAGCACTGATGATGTTCCCTAGTTGGGTCATGAAACGTCTGCAAGAAAACCACCAAGCGCAGAGAGCACCAAGGACCCCACAGTCCTCCTCCTCCATTCCATAAATCACATTCCCTTCTAACACTGGTGATGTTACCTAGTTGGGTAATGAAATGTCTGCAAGCTTAGCACCCTATAGTCGTCCTCCTATCTCCTCCTCCCTCCATTCCATAAATCACATTCTCTTCTAACACTGATGATGTTCCCTAGTTGGGTCGTAAAACGTCTGCAAGAAAGCCACCAAGCTCAGAGAGCACCAAGGACCCCACAGTCTTCTTCTTCCTCCTCCTCCTCCTCCTCCTCCTCCTCTCCACAAACCCCACTCCCTTCTAACACTGATAATGTTACCTAATTTGGTAATGAAACGTCTGCAAGAATACCACCAAGCTGAGAGAGCACCAAGGACCCCTCATTTCAACCCTGAGCTACAAAGATTCTCTTTTTTAACAAGAACTTACCTGACTAAAACACTAAGGGCTCCCAGAGGAGTAACCAGCGTGGCTGGGGCAAAAGCATAGGCAGCAAAATTTGCAGCTTCTCCAATTCCCACTGTAAGATAAAAGCAACTCATCAGAAGTGGGGAAAAAAACACCCCTAAATGATGCAATTCAGTCGTTGCTTGTTCTGAGTTTGACTGACTCCTTAGTTGTGATTGGAAATAGACTTTTTTCCCCCTAGAATACAAAGTGGATTGGCGTCCATTGGGTGGTATAAGGAAGAAATAACTACCTGAAGCAAATCCATGAAGTTCCCTTTGTGTGTTTGTGAGTCTATCTTTTTTTTTCCTTATAGGTTGACGATATCCCTAAAATACGATAATATTTAAACGGGATGGTAATCACTTTTGTAGATTTCTTAGCAATGTTTATGGGAGAGGAAGCTCCTTCTTCAAAAAGGTCTACATACCACTGGTCCTATACATTAAAATTGTTAAGGGAAAAGAGAGAAATCTCAAGATGTACTTACTGGATATTAGTCCTCCCCACCATAGCCACTCTCTGAGATATGCATGACCTCCCAGGCCTGGGAAAAAAAAAAGTGATCAGAAACTGAGAAAGTAGATCACATAAAATGAAAAACTTGTCTGAGAAAAGGCTCGACGTTTCTAGAAAACTAGGCACTGGAATCCAATAGGTTTCTTTAAAACCAAGCCAAACAGAACACGTTGACTTTATCTTAAAAAAATTGAACCCAAAAGAGGAGAAAACATATCGCATATCCCTCAAGCAGCAAGCAATACTAGCTTCCAGTTTTAAAATGAAAGAAAATAACGATTGCCCATTATTACGCAGCATCGTAAAATCTACGCCAAAGGAGAATATTGCGGTGTCCCAAAGATGCTTTTTCTAAAAACCAACTGGACTTTCTTGTTTTTCTTTGAAACATTTCACTTCTCATTCAAGAAGCTTCTTCAGACAACATGCTGTGTCATTTTTTTAATGAGCAGATGCATTTGTTTTTTCCCAAAACAGATTAATTACTCCTCCTCCAATCCTGCCCCTAACGTCAGGAATCATACTTTTCCAATCCCTCAGAACAATTTTCTTGACAAACCTTCAGGGCCCAAGAGGACTACGACTCCCAGCAACACTTAAATTCTGCTTTTTTTTAACCTCTCGTGTTAATTTGGCTAGCTCTTGCTCTACCCTTACCTGCTCTGACGGCCCCTCTGCTACTCAGCCGTAGAAGTCCTTTCTTCTTGAGGATAAAACTACTTCCAATAAATAGGCTGGAGGTTATAGCCAAGGCCACGCCAACATAGAATTCGTAATGTCCCGTGGAGGTCCCCATCTGGATCATTTTGAAGGAAAAAGCAGGAGAGAAATCGGGAGCTAAGGCTATCCAAGAAATGCCGTTTTAGATCTTCTGAACTGGGATTGTGCAAGTTCCTGAAATTGACTCATTAATTAATCATTCACCCTTGTACCTACATCTACATGAAAGTATGCTGCGACATGAGAACACTCTTATTTCCTAATAGTTTGGGCGTGTAGTCATTTTGTGAAATGAGCTGCTTTAGATCTATTGAATGAAAGTAGCCACTTGTGTTTCTACAATGTAATTTAAGGCAGGGTGTGTCAATTTCCCAGGGCCAGGGATCCTTGGTCCAAGAACAGCAGAAGGTCTGGAAAGAGGAAGTGGGCTACATAAATACCTTCCAAGAATAAACACAGCCCAGGCAAATAATCTCCAATCACAACTTTAATCCTTCTGTCCCATTTGAAACCAGAGTTGGGTAGCAATGGAGGGCGGGCATAGACATCCCGACATTAGGAATATTCCAGCAGAAGAGACCATCTACAGTTCAGTGTTGACTGTGGAGTCCTCCTTGAACCTGGTTGTCTGTGTACAGACATTTCATTAGCCAACTAACATCATCAGTGCTGGGGAATGTGGGGTTTTCTCCCTGTTTATATACCTGCTAGTACGGATGTTTTTCCGTTGGCAGTTCCTTGGTTACGCTCCTGTTTTCTCCCTGTTGTCTGGTGTTTAATCCCTGCTTAACCGGGTGTGTCGGTTACTGGGGAGGCGGTGTCAGCTCTTTTCGTTTCCTTCTTAGCTTTTTCATCGCCTCTTTTGAATGGCGTGCAAAGGTGGTTTAGCACCATGGGTCTGTTGATAGCCAATTTGGCTTATCTCCAGAAGTTATGGGTGCTCCTTCAAGAGGAGGCTGGGCGGCCATTTATCCAGACCGATGGAGGGTCTCCTGCTCTGTGGGCTAGACTAGAAGACCTCTAAGGCCCCTTCCAACCCTATTACTTCAATGTTCTGCGTTCTAAGGACTCCACAGTTAGGAATACTTTTACAAGGTTGAACCAACATTGGACTTTCTAAGGTCTTAAGTCAGAAGGGCTCTCCCTCAGTCTCCCCTGAATTCCTTGCCTGGGCACGATGGGTATTGTAGTCCAAAGGAAAGCTGCAGGGGAAGAAGACCCGGTCTGGTCTGTTTCTGCCCACCTGCTTCCCTTCCGACGTTGCCAGCCTCGCCCCATCCTACCTGCGCCCTCCCCTCCATAGAGATCCAGCAAACCCCCCCCAAAAAAGTTACTGCCCCCCCATACAGAACGACCACGCCCCTCATCCGACCCCAGGCTCATTCCCTCCCCCCCCACCGCCCCCTCCTCCCCAACTCACCCCAAACCTGGAAGACCCCTCCCCAAAAGAGAGAGGAAGAGCCGAGGAAGGCGGGCAACTCCGGCGCTCCCGAGCCGGACAGGAGAATCAAAGCGGACAGCTCCGATCAACTAGCCGGGCAGCGGCGAGCATGCGCAGAACATCCCCCTCCACCCTCCCTCCTCTCTCCCTCCTCCCTCCCTTTTCTTTCTGGCCGCGGCTCCGCCCCTTCCGCTTCCGCTTCCGCATCCTGAACGGCCGGGGCTGGCGGCGGGTGAGTCCGCTCTGCGGCTGGGCGTCCCGCGGGCTTTGGGGAGGGGTCCCTCGGCTGCTGTAGGGGCGAGCCCCCCCCGGCCCTGCCCCAGCGAAGGGGAGACCCCCGGGAGAAGCCCCTGTGGAGCAGCCGGGGGTCCTCGGTCTTCTCCTGGGGGCGCTTAGGGCGCTCGCCGCATCTGGGTTTTTTTTGGGGGGGGGGATTCTACTCTTGCGGAAAACATTAAATAAATAAATAAATAATAAATCATTATTCTAATAATTGTTCATTTTACTACATTACTACGGCTTTGGAGGGCCGGGCCCCCCCTCTTCCTTTGCCCCCTCCATCTGGGGGTCGAGGCTGCTTTTTTCTTAATTTGGGGGGTCGGGATTGGCGAGTGGTTTTTTTTCTCTCCTTCGCCATCAGGATTCCTCCAGCTTGGCCACTTTAAGGCGGGTGGACTTCAACTCCCAGAATTCCCCAGCTAGCCAGTTCCAAAGTGGCCGAGAAGGAGGAATGCTGGGAGTTGAAGTCCACCTATACGGATAAAGGAGAATATGTATAACTCGGGGTTGAAATGAGGGGGTCCTTGGTCCCACCGACATTGACAGGGCAAGGCATTAGAATACAAACTGTGAGCAAATGCCATTCCTTACTAGCACTGATGATGTTGCCTAGTTGGGTAATGAGACGCCTGGAAGAAAACAACCAAGCGCAGAGAGCACCAAGGACCCCTGAAGCCCACTGGTCTTAAAGGTGCCCTGAATGGGAAACACTGGGTTAAATGCTGAGATGCTTGGGGGGGCGGTGAAGGGGGTGAGCTTTCTGTCCCTGCAATGTATATGGCTCTACAGCCTGCCCTGGTCCTTCTAGTCGGCATATGTCTGAGTTCAGGTAGTTCTGGCTTACTTCTAAATCATAGTTCCACCAAACCTGGTTGATTTCAAGGTTTGATGCAGGAGAGTCCATGTAGTCTTTTGCCCCCTTTCCCCAAAGATGTTTCGGGAGTTTTGCCTGCTTTTGGATCTAGTCTACAAAACTGCATTCCTGTCCCAAACTGGTTCTTTATAGATTAAAAATAGCATTTTGGATCACGCCTCTTAAATTTTGCTGCTGCTGCTGATGGAAAAATGCCGCAGAGCTGAGAATCTCCTGGTTTGTGGGTGATATATTTCTAATACGAAATTCTGTAGGAGACAGATTCAAGGAACTGTCCCATGTGGTTTTTTTAATTATAGAAATAACACAACATTCCAGGAACAGAGGAAGGCCATATGATGTGTTTAAACCCCCTTAAATAGCAGTACGTTGATCTGTAGATACTCTTTGTTTTTTGTTTTTTTTAACTCTTTTTCTTTGCATTTACATTTAGTATTTTTGAATGATACAAGTTTTTGTAAACGTTTGCGTGGATCAAGAAGAGGGAGAATGGCGTCCGCAAGTAATGTGTTTGTTTTACGTTTCTCTGGTGGTGGGTCTTTAGCTCTCTAGAAGATGCGCTGATTTTGTCGCAAAGACTACTCTGCCTTTCTGAAATGATGCCCAGGACAACTGCAGACTCCTGGGGTGTGTGTGATGGCTGTGCTTTGCCAGCTTTTACGAACATGGATCAATCATTCCTGTTACAGTGCTAGTTTAATGGGAACAGATCACTGTCTTTCTTTCCTTTACGTGCTCCAGCAAGTGGCAAGATCTTTTCTCCAGCGTCTGCATTTTCATGCTTCAAACAATTGAGTTATGCTGTGTTCTTCTTAATGCTCCAAATCAGTATTTCTGGCCTCCCAGTGGCACCTTATTTGAAAGAGCCAAGAAGGAGCTTTGCTTTTTAGCTTAAAATGGGCAGGGAGGGTAAGAGAGAAGAGCAGGTGCATAGCTACCCTTTTCTGTGGCTGTGAAAACATTAATGTATTCTGGTTTAAGTGGAAGCAACATCATCATCATTAGTTAAATAATGGAAATAAGCAGAGTGGATTTAGTTAGCTAAGGAAACCATTCTACTCTCAAATTTAACGGCTTGGCTTCTGATGCATCTCTGACTTATAAGGCTGGAATTGGGCTTCAACACCTATCCCAAAGGTGTTTTACCAAAAGTCAACTGGACTTTTTTGGCTTTTTTCCTTGAAAATGTTTCACTTCTCATCCTTCTCAAGGAAACAAGAAAGTCCAGTTGCCTTTTGGGAAAGCATCTTGGGATAACCATGATCTGGATGATTGAGAATCTCCATAGACGTTCACTTCAACACACGGTGTAATGCCTTAGTTCTCTCCAATAAGGTGCTTCTGGATGGAATGCGTTTGTGCGCACCGCTGTTGTGTGATTGCAGCAGCTCAGCAAGTGGTGTAGAGGTGCTCGGGCAAAGCTCTTGCTCAACTGTTGGGTAACTGTTTTTTCTTGTCTTCTCAACCCGGAAGAAATGAAGATGACCAAGAACAAGGATAATATTCCCCACGAGTTGGAGAGCCAGTTTATTTTGCGGCTGCCTTCGGTAAGTGCCCCTCAGGAGTAAATGCTAACGTCACCTACCGTTTGCCGTGATTCACGCTTGTGTCTGGAACGGTCCAACTTTCCCTTGATCCTCGTTCTCGCTGTCTCTCTGCTTAGGAATATGCTTCTACCGTGCGGAGGGCTGTTCAGTCTGGGAGTGTCAACTTGAAGGACAGACTCACTATTGAATTGCACGGTAAGGGGTCAACATCAGCAGCTTTTAATTTCTTTTTTCTTAGATAAAGCACATAAACAAAGACAAACAAAAAATAAAGATCGGCTGCAGGCAGTCCTTGACGCATTTTTAACAGCCAGGCTTTGTGCCTTAGCCACACCCAGATTGGTCAATAAAAGCCCACTCGTGTATTAAATGGTCACCGTGTTATTATATTTTGATTGTATCAGATTGTTTTACTTGATTTCTGTACAGGTCTTGGACCATAATAAAACATTGTTCTAATTTTCTAACTGTGGCCATTGCAGTTCATGGACCTTCAGTAGTTCAGCCTGTGCCTAGCCTTTTTGGGACACTTTTTTTGAGAATCAAAAGCATCAGAATGTTTTTTAACACCTCATTTCACTGCAGTTTCTAAGATGGGGGCGGGGGGAATGAATTAAAAATAAACATTTTATAAATGGAATTTTCCCATCATATCTTTCTTTTTAAAAAAACACCCACACATTTCACTACTTTCAAATCTGGGTCGCCCATACGGTGAAGTAACTTGGTGGTTTGAGGCCCAAGGTTTTGTGCCTTGCAAAATATTCGACTGCTGAATGTTTGATAAGTATCACCTAGACATTCTCCCATTTCCCTGCAGCGGATGGTCGTCATGGAATTGTACGTGTCGACCGGGTCCCCTTAGCTGCCAAGTTGGTGGACTTGCCCTGCACCATGGAAAGCTTAAAGACCATCGACAAGAAGACCACCTATAAGACTGCTGACATCTGCCAGGTAAATTGTCCTCCGTCCATCAGCCCGATGAACCTTTCTTGTGCTTTTCGTTTTTGTAGACCGTATCTTCATTTTCCGCTACCCTCTTCAACCTGAATTTTTTTTCCCCGTACCACAAATAGTTATGAATTACAAACCATTTAACAGTTCTTTGAGGGTGCGGGATTTCTAATAAACGCTCATCCGGGAGCTTGAAACTTGTTTAGCCCTAGATCAGGGGGTAGGAAACCTGGGCTCTTTTATGACTTGTGGACTTCAACTCCCAGAATTCCTGAGCCAGCATGGAATTCTGGGAGTTGAAGTCCACAAGTCATAAAAGAGCCCAAGGTGTCCCACCCCTTGCCTAGATTGAAAGAAGCTTGGAAGCCTGGAAAAGGAGACGAGATAACTTGATGGTGAATAAAACAGGCAACGACAACTAGTTAGGAAGATTCAGAGTCACTCTGAAGATATTAGAGTCAGTCTCCAGTGCTGAGCAATTTTGTGCTCATGTGACAAATTTCTCACTGGTAACTGGCTGATGGACCACTCTGACAAAATTTTAGTTTGGTCTACTACAACTTCTAATTTACGATAACAGTCAATTACCCTTTTATTCTCTTGCGGAGTTCAGATGTTGGTGTGCACTGTGGATGGAGACCTGTATCCTCCATTGGAGGAACCAGCTGTGGGTGCTGATGCTAGAGCCAACAAGAAGAAGGATAAGGATCGGGAGAAGAAGTTCATCTGGAATCATGGCAGTAAGTAGCTCTGGGGTCATTCATCTCTCTACACCAGGGATCCTTATTTGTGCATTGTCCCCTACCTCCATGCCCTCACCGTGCGTCATGAAGGGTGATGAGACCCCTTGATCTTCCTCTCTTTGGTTCAGAAGGCTAGCATCTCTTCTGCACCCCCAAAGAGGCCGCTGGCTGCACCCTCCTGTTCCATCTTAATTTGCACCGGTTCCGTTTGCGCATTAATTGGTTGTGTCCTTGCAGTTACGCTCCCGTTGAAGAACGTCAGAAAGAGGAGGTTCCGAAAGACAGCTAAGAAGAAGGTGAGCCACAAAAGCGAGCCTTAGAGACCGGCTGCGTATGAAAAGCCAGAGCCAAAATAATAATGCACAATTGGAAATCTGAGTCAAGGATAGACAGCATCTTAGTTTATTCTTACAGTTGTTCTATCTAGGAAGTTTATTCCCAATGGGAAGTTTTAAGACCTCTGGGTGGAGAATGAAGAAAACTCTTGAATGGGCTGATGGTCGCCCTTCCTTTGAGACACTTTCCATGCGCAGCCGGCCACATCTCCTTGGGGCTTGTGTGCAACTTGAGCAGATTAAGTCCAATTAAATCCTTTAGAGCAGCGCCCCTATACCCTGCGCCCCTAGAACGCTTCTGATATGTTCTCGCACCCCTTACAAA